CAGATTTGACTGATCACGGGGTGGAGAGTAAAATGTGCTTCCTTCACACAGAGTGATCACGAACTCGAAAGTGAACCGCGAGCGCCCATCCAAAAGCGATTTCAATATTTATGTAGAGTATGTTTCTGACATCAGAGTTGATATTATTGTATTATATAGGAATTGAGGCATAAAATATTCCATCTGATCTTCACTGTGCAGGGCTCACGTGTCTCCATGTGGCCACGCTGCACAAGCATCAGCGTCTCATGCGGCTGCTGATGAAGAACGGGGTGGATCTGAACATCCAGGTGAGCTGCTCGAGGCTGATTCTGCTGTGTGACGTGAAAACCTTCAGTCTTGTGACCAAACATCTGGCTGATTTCCTCATTCAGGAGGGGACGAGCGGGAAGACGGCGGTACATATGGCAGTGGAGCTCCACGACGCGCCGGCGGTGAACCTGCTGCTGAATAAAGGGGCGAATGTAGATGCTGCCATGTTCAACGGCTGCACCGCGCTGCATCTAGCCGTGGGCCGACAGGACGCCGCCATCGCTAACCTCCTGTGCCAGGCTGGAGCCGACAAGATGATCAGAAACATGGAGGATGAAACAGCCCTGGATCTGGCTGACGGCAACGATGACGTAAGGAGATCGAAATTCCCTTGTTATCTAACTTCAGCGTTTAACAGACTCTTCAGTGTCGGACTGAGACAGAGACAACTCCGTATCAGTGTTGTTATTGTTAATTAAAACTAAAACTATTAAACCGTTTTTGTTCGTTGAAATAAGGCTGAAATAAAATATAAATATTAGATGAAAAACTTAAACTGAAAATAAGTTGAAGTACCAAAGTACTCAATAGGGACTTTCGCACCGCGGGAACCTTTTCATAGTTACATTTAGTTCTGGAACTAAAGCGGTGCGAAAGGCCCTAATATAACAAAAATTACTAACTAAATTAATAATAATATTTTTGTTACTTTTCTAACATGACACTATATGTTCATTGAGAAAAAATAAATAAATAAAAAAGAAGCCACTAAAATTAAATTTACAGTTTTCTAATGTTTAAGTTTTTATTTTTAATATTTGGTACAACCTTCATGTAAAACAACACAAATGCATTCTGATCTATGATTAGCAATATTGATGTTTTGTAGCAATACTGTGCTGTTGTAAACAAGACGAGCAAATAAAACACTGCTTTGCAAACTTGTTGCTATTGTTAATCAAAACTAAAACTATTAAACTGTTTTTGTTCGTTGAAATAAGGCTGAAATAAAATATAAATATTAGATGAAAAACTTAAACTAAAAATAAGTTGAAGTACCAAAGTACTCAATATAACAGAAATTACTAAATAAATTAATAATAAAATATTTTTGTTACTTTTCTAATATGACACTATATGTTTATTGAGAAAAATAATAAATTAAAAAAATAATAACAAAAAAAAAAGAAGCCACTAAAACTAAATTGACAGTTTTCTAATGTTTAAGTTTTTATTTTTAATATTTGGTATGCTTGATACAAAACATTCTAAGTATTGTAAATAATTATTAATTTATTATTAAAAATAATAATAATATTAACTTCCATTAAAAAGTACAGTAATAATTTGCAATAAAATGTGCAATATTGCAACATTTTATACAATTTTATAAATATATTTTAAAAACTAACCTAAATAAAATAAATTAAGTTGAAGTACCAAAGTGCTCAAAAAACTAAAATGACTAAATAGTACTAAAATGATTAAAACTAAAAACTAAAAATATTTTATAAAGCTAAATAGAAATGTTTAAAAGCAACAAAAATACTGCATAACAACATGCTCAAAAACTCCCTAGAAACTAATTGAAATCAAATAATTTAAGTTGAAATACTAAAATTACTAAAACTGAAAAAAAAATTAAGCAAAATGGAATTAAAAAAAGAAACCAATAAAAATGACAAAAGCACATAACAAAATTACTAAAACGAAAATGAAAACTGAAAATATACAAATAAACGTTATTAATAATAATAATAAATACTATAATGGTATATAAATAATACTAATGCTGTTTATATTGTCTTAGCTTGAGTGATAGTTAAGTCTTGATTATTAGTGTGCATGATGTTCAATACATTTCAACAGGTTTTTTAATTTAACTGAAACATGAAATCCTAAGTGACTCTACATGCTTGCATTGATTGTGTTATTGTGCGTGCCGTGTTGACTGTAAAGCAGCATACAGTAAATGCACTTGCTCTGTAAGCTGTACATTAGAAATGGGATGATGTGGTCACTGTTTCTCCTTTTGCTTTTGCAGATTTTGGCCTTGTTCCCCTTCGATGACATTCAGATCATGGGCAGGACTGTCATGAGCTTCTCCTGAACATGTCAGCAGCACGTTCTTTGTTCTTTTTTTAAATACTGATCTGAATTTGCAGGACTTTGGTCATAGTGATGCACAGCTTTTGGAAACGTCTGCCTGTAACCTCAACTATTTCTGCCCAGCGGTGATGGTGCTGGTTGATTTGTGAAGCAGTAACAGCTTCAAGCCATTCATGCAGAATGATGTGCTGCTGCGTGGTCGGGACATGCGGACGTAACTTGTATTGTTTGTAGTCTGTTGAACAACCTTCATGTAAAACAACACAAATGCATTCTGATCTATGATTAGCAATATTGATGTTTTGTAGCAGTACTGTGCTGTTGTAAACAAGACGAGCAAATAAAACACTGCTTTGCAAACTTGTTTCATAGTGCCAATAAAAGTAGTTTTAATATTTACGTGCAGCGTTTTCTTTCTACTGAAAATGCAAGAGCTTTTTACGAAACCTTTTTTTTTTTTATTATTATCTGCCAGCAACTGTTGTTTACTTCACAACCATATCATTTACATTTTGGTTTTCAATGTTAAACGCTGCATATAATGCAAACTAAACAGACGCTGGAGACAGATTCATGCTTTGGAGTTTTTAAGAGGAAAAATGTGCTGCAGTTCTCCTAAGCATTGATACTGGGAAAACAACAATGAGCAGAACATACAGGAAAAGCCACAAAAACAAGTTCCTGGTAGATTTGTAAAAAAGAACCGCATGTCGTGAAACCTTGTCTGTGTGTGTTTCCATCACGTGCCACATCACGCTTCCTCATAACTTCCCAAAAATGAGTCCCATTCATGTAAACTCGGACGGGTTAAAACATGCTTCCGCTTCATGTGAAACAAGTAGATTTCCTTGTAAATTAATATTAATTTCCTGTACAGCATAAGATTGCCATTGTATTTGGTGACTAAATATAGCATGAAATGCTTACTTTTAGAATAAATAAATTATAAAAAAATTTTTTTTACGATATTTGATACTTCTAAATATTGTTACTTTTCTAATATGACACTTTATGATTATTGAGAAAAATAATGAATTCATAAAAATAATTTAAAAAAGAAGCGGCTAAAACTAAATGTGCATCCTAGTAAATTTACAATCTTCTAATGTTTAAGGTTTTATTTTTTAATATTTAATATACTCGATACTAAATATTATAAACATTATCAATAAGTGTTAATGTATTCTCATTGATAAATTATAATGATTAATTTTGATATTTTTAGATATTTTATAATTATTATTCTTAATAAATATTAAAACCCATTAAAAAGTACAGTAAGTTACAATAAATACAATTTCAACATTTTATACAATTGTGTACGTATATTTAAATAATATTTGATATTTTGGAATTGCAGGAGTGTTGGGGAAACAATTTAATAATAGGAATTTGGGTCTTTTTAAAAAACAAATGTCAAGTAGCTGCAATTACTGTATAATATATGTATCTGTATTCTTGAGCCCTAATATATTCATGGTAATATAACGGTATACTGATTGCAAATGTATGTGGTGAATAAATATATAAATAATCATACTTTTAGAATAAACAAAATGTAAGTACTATTGTTTTTAGCTAAATTGTATAAATATATTTTTTCAATTTTTGATACTTCTAAATAATGTTACATTTATTTATTTTTTCTAATATTGTTACATTTATTTTTGTTCTAATTTGATTATTGAGAAAATGGCTTACAGATAATAAATTAATAAAAAGAATGCAGAAAAGGCAGCAGTTAAAACTAATGTGTACCCTAGTGAATTTACAATCTTTTAACATATTTCTTTTAAATATGCATTTATGCCTAGATTTAAGTGTTACAATAAAATGTGCAATATTGAAACATTTGTATACAATTTTCTAAATATATTTTAACAATATTAAAATAATATAGAAACAATTAGATGCTAAAACTAAACGTGTGTCCTAGTAAATTTACAATCTTTTAATGTTTTTAGTTTTTATATTTAATGACAAAAATTACTTTCCATTAAAAAGTACTTTTACTACATATAATAAAATGTGCAATATTGCAACACTTTTATTCAATTTTATGAATATATTTTAACTATTAAAATTAAAAAAATATACAGAAGTATATATAATTATTATTATTCATTATAATTAATGTAATAATTCTTATAGTTAATTAATAATAATAATAATAGTTTATTTTTCATCTCTTATGTCCACTATGTATTTTTCCTCACTCATATTTTCCTACTTATGTCCACTATAATTTTTTCTTTTTCCTTACTTATGTCCACTGTGTTTTTTTTCAACTTGTTTTTTCCTACTTAAGTCGACTGTAAGTTTTATTTTTTACCACATATTTTTTCCTACTTATGTCCACTGTAATTTTTTATTTCTTTCCCACTTTTCCAACTTATGACCACTATATTTTTTATTTTTCTGCCACTAATTGTGTCTACTTATGTCCACTATAATTTTTTTACCACTTTATTTTTTCCAACGTACGACCACTATATTTTTAATTTTTCTACCACTTTTTTTTTTTCTGACTTTCATTATAATTAAAAAAAATTACCACTTATTTTTTTCCTACTTATTTTCATTACCACTTTCTCTCAGTTAAGCAATACATTGTATTTCAACCTCAACATGTATGCATTATGGTTGCAGCAGATCCTGCGTTCAGATTAAAGTACTTGTCAAACCGTCCTGCTGATGTTTGTGTAGGTCGTGGGCTTTGTTTTCCTGTCATAAAGACGTGTGTGTTTGGGAATGAATCTAAGACTGGACTGCTGGATGATGCTTCATCGGCGGCCAGAAACGAGTCTGAATCCAGTTCATCTGCTCGGCAGGCCGTCAAACTCTTCTTCTGCGCTGCTGGACTCCAGGTTATACATTTATAGTTAATAGTCTTCACAATAACATCTACAATATCGGTTGTTGTTTTTTTTTCTATATGCACAAGTTAATAGTCGTCATTTGTTCACCATGAAGGCAGTACAATATGTTTTATATCTATATATTTTTATTTTTTTTAAATTTTATTGTTTAATTAAAAAAACAATAGTGAGATTCTCAATAGTGCAATTACAGTATTTTTCTTTTATTTAAAAATATTTTTATTTTTAATAAATATTTAATTAATTTAATTAAATTTAAGATTTTTAATACTTTATAATTTAAGTAATACATCTTTTTTTGCATTTCAGTAATAAAAATGTTTTTTTTTGCATTACACAGTATGCATACAGTATGCATTGTTATTTATTTGGATTTGTTTTTGTAATTCCCATTATTCTCAGTTTTAATACTCATTCGATTCTCACTAGTGTAATTACAGTTTTTTTTATTTAAATGCTATTTTTTGGTTTAAGAAGTTATTTTATTATTATTAATGTGTGCACAAGTTAATAGTTTTCATGTGTTCACAATAATATCTATTTATTTCATTTTTTTTTTCATATCAACTATTTGCACAAGTTATCAGTCTTCATTTGTTCACAATATCTGCAATATCTTTATTTATTTTTGTATTATTTATTGTTTAATTAAAATCACCATGAAGGCAGTATGACATTTCATGTATAGTTTTGGTCCATTTTTAAAATTATTTTATTATTTAATTAAAATCACCATGAAGGCAGTATAATATTTTTTTTTTTTCTTTATTTTTAAAAATTATTTAAATTAATTCCCTTTATTATAACTGCTTTAATTAGTTTTTTTTTATTTAAATGGTATTTTTTATTTTATTAATTTGTTTGATTACTGTGTGCTCAAGAGTTTTTCATTTTTGTAATTAGTTTTTCTTTGAACTCTTTGTACAGATTAATAGTCTTCATGTGTTCACAGTTATATCTACAGTATCTATATATTTTTTCCTCTCGCCCAGGCGTCGTACCTGACCTGGGGAGTTCTTCAGGAGCGGGTGATGACGCGCTCGTACGGTGCGACCGAGGTGGAAGGCAGCGGCGAGCGCTTCAGAGACTCTCAGTTTCTGGTGTTCATGAACCGGATCCTGGCGCTGACGGTGTCCGGTCTGTGGTGTGTCCTGCTCAAACAGCCCCGCCACGGTGCGCCCATGTACAAATACTCCTTCGCTTCACTGTCCAACATCCTCAGCAGCTGGTGCCAGTATGAAGCGCTCAAATACATCAGCTTTCCCACACAGGTACAGCACTGCATTCTGGGTAAACGAGCTGTATGGTCCAGCAAGTTATGTTTATATAGCACATTTCATACACAAAGGTAATTCAAAGTTCTTTACATAAAAAGGATTTTAAAATAATCATAACAGATGATTAAGAAATCAAATTAACAATAAAAAGTCAAAACTAAAGATTCTGATATGGCCACGTTTCAGTAGACCATTAGATGTGCAGTGTTTTTCATTTTTTTGACCTGTATATATATATATATAAGGATTTATTATATATAATTATACAAAATATTAAATGTAAGAATTTATTTAAATGTAAGAATACTTTTAACAGAATATAATTTAAATGACACATGAAAAATATTTTTTTATGGTATGCATTGCTATTATAATATGTTGATTCCTGGTTTCACTCCAGGAAAATTCCGCATTGGAATTTTTGTTGATTTTTTAAAAATAAATCCGTATAGGTCTATAATTTCCGTCGTGATGGTTATTGGTCGTCTGCATCCTACATATCAGTTTGGACATTTCTGGACACCTTCTCAAATCTTGATAGATTGATTTTCTCTGAAATCACTGCACGAGCAGCAGCAGCAGTGATTGACACGTCAGCTCGTGTCGCTGTCAAATCCGTCATAAATCCGATGCCCGATGTGTTTCCGTCGCAGGTCCTGGCCAAGGCCTCTAAGGTGATCCCCGTGATGCTGATGGGCAAGATCGTGTCGCACAAGAGCTACGAGTACTGGGAGTACTTGACGGCCGTCCTGATCTCGCTGGGCGTCAGCATGTTCCTGCTCTCCAGCTCCAGCAGCAAACACCCCTCCACCGTCACCACCTTCTCCGGCGTGGTCATCCTCGGCGGATACATCGTCTTCGACAGCTTCACCTCCAACTGGCAGGACAACCTGTTCAAGTACAAGATGTCGTCGGTGCAGATGATGTTCGGCGTCAATCTCTTCTCGTGTCTCTTCACGGTGGGCTCTCTGCTGGAGCAGGGCGCCTTCTTCGACTCGCTGGCCTTCATGATGCGTCACTCGGAGTTCGCGATGCACGCCGTGCTGCTGTCGGTTTGCTCCGCCTGCGGGCAGCTCTTCATCTTCTACACCATCTCTCAGTTCGGCGCGGCCGTCTTCACCATCATCATGACTCTGCGGCAGGCCATCGCCATCCTCCTGTCCTGCTTCCTCTACGGTCACGCCGTCACCCTGGTGGGCGGCTTGGGTGTGGGTGTAGTCTTCCTCGCGCTCTTCCTCCGCATCTACGCCCGCAGCCGCGTGAAGAAGAGCAGCAAGTGGCCGCCGCAGTCGCCCGTTCAGAAGGTTTAATCCAGTGTACAGAAGCCACATTTTCGTGGTTTGTTTGTCTTTTTTTGTTTGCTGCAGAACTGTGGGTTTGTGTTTCGTACGGTCGGACGCTACAAAAAGGGATTCCTCTTTATCTTAAAGGGATTTTGCCTGCGCGTCGTGTGTGTGTGTGTGTGAGAAATGACTTCACGAGCCATCGAGCGAACACGGACTTTGATATCTTTGTAATTTGGTACTAAATTCGTTCAGTTTTTCTATTTAAAGTTTGCTTTAAGAAGTTGTTCGAGAGGAAAATGAACTGTTGTTTAGGAGTGTTAGTTCACCCATCGTTCTGTTCGCATTATATCTGGGTCATATTTCACTCCAAAGTCCAAAGGAAAATATGAAATTAATAAAAAAAACACAATAAGAAATAGAAAAGACCATGTGGCCTTTTTTTAAAAACCATTATATTTTTTGCATAATGACATTATTTTCATCAAAACTGAACACATTTTCCACTCAAATGTTATTGTTATTACTTCAATGCAATAATAAAATAGCAAATTAATAATAAAGCGTAATAAGAAATAATGATATTATGTAATAAGAAAAAAAAACTTAAAAAACACAATAAGAAAATGAAAATTAAGCATGTTTTCTGGCCAAATCCACTTTTATTACAATTTTTTTTTTTTTCATTATTATTGTTACAATAAAATATTCAATAATAATAAAATGTTAAAAGAAATAAGACAATTTAGGCTTTTTAGGAACCATTACATTTTCTACATAATGACATTGTTTTCATGAAATTTAAGCAAATGTTCTGCCCAAATAATAATAATATTAATTATTATTATTATATTTTAATAGTTTATAATTATTACCATACAGTAATAAAATTCTAAATTAATAAGAAAGCGTAATAATAAATAAAGATTTTACATAATAAGAAAAAAAAACAAAATAAGAAAAAAATTATAGCATTATTTTCATGAAAATTAAGCATGTTTTCTGCCCAAATCCACTTTTATTACTATATATTTTTTAATTTCATTATTATTGTTACAATAAAAATAATAACATTTTAAATAATAATATGTTAAAAGAAATTAGACAATTTAGGCTTTTTAATGACCATTACATTTTCTACATAATGACATTGTTTTCATGAAATTTAAGCAAATGTTCTGCCCAAATAATAATAATAATAATAATATGAATTATTATCATATTTTAATAGTTTATTATAATTATTACAATACGGTAATAAAATACTAAATTAATAATAAAACAATAAGAATTAGATTTTCATTATTTTCATTAAAATTACATTTTATTACATATTACAGTACAATAATAAAATATTAATAATAAACCATGAGATGATAAAGGCTTTTTTTAAAAGAATCATTAACATTTTTTGCATAATGACATTGTTTTCCTTAAAATTAAGCCAATTTTGAGCCCAAATACCCTTTATTTTTTTAGTAGTAGTACAATACAATAATACAGCTTTATTCATCATATAACCATAAATAGGAATACTAGATTTGATGTGAAATGTGAGCTAGACTTGACATGGTTTTGTGAGATTCACGGGTCACCTCCTCGTTGATGCCAGTGTCTCGTTTGGCAGGTGAATGAAGCTCTCTCACATTTCTGCTGTCTGCCGTATCAAACCATATAATAGTGTTTGTTATATGACAAACAAACTGATTACACTCTTTAAAATACTGAATACTCTTCAGTGCTCCAGTAAGTGAATCTCCTAAAGAAATGGCTGAAGAAAAATTATATATATAAATATAGCATTGCATTTTGCATGAATAAAAAGCATATTTTTCATTTTCTTTTTGTTTCTTTAGTTTCTCTCCAGTTGTCTTAATATAAAACAGCTCATTCTTATTACTGTAATTTCAGTCATATTTATTTTTTGCACTGCAAAAAATCCTAACAAGTCACAAATTAGGTCTTTTCTGCAAAATAAATTTTTTTTTTTAATTTTTTCCGTTTGACTTTGGGCTGAAATATGAGCTGTTTTTGACCAGTTTTCTGAGATTCTCTCTGGAAGGAAACTCTGACATTCTTCAGGTAGTAGTTTTACCTCCAAGCGTCAGGTGTGACTGTATGAAGGAAGACCGTGTCAGGTGAGTTTCTCACGCATTTTCATAACACATAACCCTTATTATGACATTAGAATCAGGCATGTTAAAGGCAAATTAAAAATGTCCTCATTTAGTCTCCCTCATGTCATTCCAAACCTGCATTACTTTCTTAAAAAGAGCAGAATATTCATCACACCATCATTTATGGACGTTGTTTATGGTGTTTCTCTTTTCAGCTTTTGGAGCTTGACCTCCTCGTTACATTCTTTCATTGTATTAAATGAAAGAATGTAATGTAATGTAATAAAGCATGAATATTTTTATCTAATTCTGCCTTTTTTTGTATTCCACAGAAGAAATCTGTGGAACCGCAAGTCGTACAAGTTTGGAATAATGATGAGGGTATTTTGGTGCACTGTCGCTTTAAGAGTCTTAGGTTTGTGTTTTTCTGGTCCGATGAGGGAGGCACTGAAAAATGTCACCGGTTTTGTAAGAGCCAGAAAGGGAAGTTCCACGCTATTTATAATTTTTTTTATAAATGATCTACCATTTAAATATGTGCAGAAGTGATAAGACAGACACGTGCGTGGTGAAGAAAAGCCAGCAATCCAGTTTTACAGTGATTCAGTTCACACGTGTTCATTTTTAGTGTTTGGTAGAACAGGATTTCTACAGATCTGCTCTCGAGCTTCAGTTGACTTATACAATACTAATGACATCCGTTTCATTTATATTATTGGAACGAATATAGCTTTTTCTTTCATTATATTAAAGGTTCTTAGGGAACCTGTTTGTTGCTGATAATCACTTTTAGTCTTTTTAGTGGGTCTAACTTTTGTCTTTATTTTTGTTTAAGTTTCTTTTTCTGTTTCTGTTTTTGAATTGCCCGTGCAATAATAATCTGCCTTCTATTACAGTTTTGAGAATAGATTTGAGTTTTTCTGGTGTTAAAAGCAGCAGGATGGATTGTTCTTGGTGGTCTGACCATGAGAGAGGATGGTAGACGTGCTTGTTTACCTAAATATTTAGGTGAAATCTCTTTCGTTCTGCATCTACGTTCTTTTGCATGTTGTAGAATTATTTTTAAACTCTAATCAGGACTATGTACTTTCACTACAGGCTGTAGTTTTAGTTAGTTTAGTGTTTTTATTTTATTTTTTTTAATTAGTGAAGCATTACCAGGTGAATCTCATGAAGACGTTTACCATTCAGTGGCCGTAAAAATTACATTATGCATAAAGAAAATGATGCTTATTTTAAGACTTTTCATTTATTTATTCTTTTTTTTTTTTTTTGCATTGACATTTTCATGGCAATTACATCAGCAAAAATTAAATCATTCTTTTTTTTAATTATTATTATTATTGCATTGTGAAATTTTCATGATGTGTCTGGATATGTTTTGATTTTTTTCCTCATTATCAAAGGTGATTTTCGTATGACCAAGTTTTATTTAAATCAGCAAAAATGAACATTTTTAAAAATATTTTATTCATCCATCCATCCATCCATCCATCCATCCATCCATCCATCCATCCCCACAATTCTGGCTTTTTTTATTAGAATTGTGAGATTAAAGTTTACAGTTCAGTCTTTTTTTTTTCTCACAAATCTTAGAAAAAACTCAAAATTGTGAGATAAAAAGTTGCAATTCTGAGAAAAGTTAGAATTGCAAAATATAAACTTGCAGTTGTAAGACAAAAAGTCCAAACTATGAGATTAACAGTTGCAAAAATGCTTTTTATTTTATTTTATAGTATAAAAAAACCTATATGGAATTAGGATTTTATTTAATTTTTTACATTTTATTTCTGCAACCAAATTATGTGAAAAAGTCAGAGTTGTGATAAACTCAGAAGTATAAGATAAAAAGTCTCAATTCTGAGGAGAAAAGTTTGAATTGTGAGATATAAACTTCCAATTGCAAGAAGAAAAGTTTAAAAAAAAATCAATTTTTTTATTTTATGGTAGATTAAAAAAACTATGGAACTAGCATTTTTATTTCATTTTAATTTAATTTTTTCCCACCTTAGAATAAAAGTATTAAAAAGGTAGTTGCAAGTTTTAGTTCACAATTCTGACTAGTTTTCTTACAATTCTGAGAAGAAAATGTTAGAATTGTGAGAGAAAAAGTTGCAAAAAAAAAAAAGTTTTTTTTTTCAAATTGCAAGATGTAAACTGAGCATTCTGACACAAAAACAAAACCAACAACAACTCAACTGTGAGATAAAAAGTTGCAGTTACGGATCTATCTATCTATCTGTCTGTCTATCGATCTGTCTATCTATGTACAGTGATGCACAATGAAAGAAGAATGAAAAAGATCAGCAAAGGGACGTTTTAGGACACATATTATTCTAATACCACAAGTCACCTTGTGAATATCTTGTAAATACCATGGTAGATGAATCAGTCTGTACCATGTTGTTTATCAAAAAGTAAGTGTGTAACTGTGCCAGGCTCTCCCAAAGCAGGCTGTACCTGCATTAGACTGGCGTGCGTCTTTGTGCATCTGTGCTACACGCACTTGCAGTCGAGTTTCCAGGTCGATCAGTATCTCTGCGGTCGCTCCCCACACTCAGCCTCTCTGAATGACTCGATGAGAAGCAGTGTAGTAAGACACCCACACGGACAGCAGCCTTTATCAGACATCCTCTACAGTCACCTGGGCTGAAATGAATGTTAAACCCCTCCTCAGCAATGTCTGTTACTGCAACACATGTGACTTAGAAGAAATCGAGATGCAATGACTGAGTGTTTGGACCATTCAGCAGAAGAACTGAAAAGGTTAAATGTTTCCTTAATACCGTGTGAGCAAAAAAACAAACAAAAAAACAGATGGTCTTGATGGAAGACACTCATCTCTGATAATAAAGCAGGTCAGACCACTTCCAATAAATGCCATGATTAACATTTTCTGCTGGGTGAAGGAAAAATGTTTACTGACACAGTGTTTACTGTAAGGTCCACTTCTCGTATCATAGTTGCTTATGAACCTAGTCTTTTTTTTTTTTTTTTTTGCAAACATAAACTAAACATGTACGTGTCAAATTTACCAGAACTTCAACAGGGAAATAGGAAAAAAATATTTTGAATAAAGAAACTGAAGAACAATTTTATGACCATAATAATAATAATAATTAATATTATTCATTATTTTCATAAATAAAAACATTCCTACTCCAGTGACTAAAAGTCTTATTATAAGTCTTGGAAAAATAAAAATACTTTATACTTTAAATACTTTAAAATATATATATATATTTTTTTTAAATGTGAAGTACAATAGTATTTGCTCTTTATGCAGATTTTACTAAAATTGTGTTGAAATTATTTGTGTGTTACTTACAGTAATAAGAATTTGATGTGTTTAAATAAAAAAAAAAAATTAAAAAAAAACAAAAAAAAAAAAACGAAACAATATTTGTCTCTTAAAACAGCTTCCTTTCCTTTATGCAAAGTACTTCCTATTGTTTGACTCTGCGGTGAAATACAGGCAGAACACAGAAACAGATTTAACCCTATAGCGCCGCTGTCTGAGGTTGTCAAACAGAGACACCTGGCGGATAAAAGCGGAACTGTCGCTATTGTTACAGAACTACAACTACAACTCATATATTCATCCGCTTATGTTTATTTATTTATTTATTTTTATATATTTATTTTTTCCCCAACAGTGGAACACAAAATAATTCAGCTGAATGTCAAAAACATCAAAACAAGCGTTTAGGCATATAAACATTTAATACATGTTTGCCCATATGTAACGTTCATCCCGTCCCCAGACTTATCTAATTGGTCCATTGTTACTAACATCGTTCCATTGCGTTTTATAAATTAACATATTTTAACTCATCACAACTTATTAAACAGCGTTCATGGCGTGAGACGCTTAAAATACGGCAAACTCGTCGCCATATAAAGAGGAATAAGGATAACAACATAAATGTCCTCATAAAAAGTTATTGTACTTTTATATAGTGTTTCTGGCAGCCGTTCATCCTTTGTGTTCTACGGTGCATACAAGACCAAATGAGGGTGAGTAAATCATTTTAGGGAGCATCTGACAGAAAAGGCTATCAAGAATGTAAAAATGTCATATTTCACCCCCAAATCAAATGTAAAAAATTTGCCTTAGCATCGAAGGTTTTAAACAATAATTTAGCTACTGGGTCAGCAGAGGGAATATCATTTACTAACCGTCTAATGCACAGTTTTTTGCAGGTCTTAAAAAGTCTTAATTCCTGCTTTCACAAATTAAGGTCTTACAGGGGTCATATTTGTGTGACGTCACACAGACAGGCATCTGAGATCGGCTGGATTTGAAAAAGGGGAAAACATTTAACCAGATTTTAAAAAAACACCTGGTGGATTTTTATCATTATAGGGTGGTTGTGTACACGCACTGCCAACACACATTTCAGTTCAAACAACTTGTAAAAGTGCATGTAGCATCCGATGACCCCTTTAAATTGGCACAGAGTCATAAATTAACCCACGTCAAAAAATACTATAGTAATTTATAGGAAATACTATAGTGTTTTTGAACCATACTATAATAAAGTGTATTATACTGTATATATTATAGTATTTGCTATAAATTACTATAGTATTTTTTCATGTGGGAGGTCATGGCATTAAATGTTGCATGCGCTGCAAAATAAATGCATGAATGAATACATAAAATTCTTTCTGAGTATTTTTGTTGTTTTCCAGTACAAATATTGATTTTTCTGAGCCCATTGGCAGATATTTGTTCTTGTTTTTTTGAACTCACTTCATTTTGATCAGTTTCTCAGAAAACAAGACTTCTTATTATAAAGTAATGGAGATATGTTGGAAGTTGCAAATTTTGGAATTTCAAATTTGAAGCAATGCTGAGACGTTTAAAGACCTTTTTGTGTTCCATTTAGTTTATTACTTAAATTTTCTTGGTCTTAAGTGTCTTAAATTTACCTTCATAAAAGCTGCAGAAACCCTGAATCCAATGCATCTGTTTCTATGTTTTGAACTAAATAATGTGAAGAGAATCAGTGGCTAAAGATCGAACAGAGAAAATCTCACTATATTAATTAATCCCATATAGAGTAGTGGTTCTCAAGGGGCCTCCAAGAAGTCTTAAAATTCTTCAAATCTAGTTATATTAATATAATCTTAATTAAAATGCAATAAAACATTAAAAATAATAATATACAACAGTACACCGACATAATATTAAGTTTATTTTTATTACCAGAGAAGTACTTCGATAGGAGTTTCTTTAAATATCCTTTTGGACAAACGTTGGGCCTTGGTGTCAAAAAGGTTAAGAGCAACTTTATCAGGGAAATTGGCAAAATGTTTTTGCATACAATTTAATCTAGGAATAGGCTATCTGAAGAAATTTTAGGAATGCTGAATAAAGTTAACTGGGAAAAGAAGGCAAAAGTATCATACTAATACATTAAGTATTGTTAGTCAGTGTATTTTTAACTAAAGCATATCTAGTTCATGTGAGCTAATGCATTATTTACAAATGAGACCTTATTATGAACTGTTACTATGTTGTGCCAACTTGACTCAGTTTAATAAAGTCTGAAAGTATATTCACAAGAATCATTGAAGTTGTGGTGCAGACTTCGCTAACTGGCCTTTAACAGAACTACTAATTCATAAACTATATACTTTAGTCAGGGTAGAGCCATATTGAATTTAATAGGAATGAAAACGAGGCTGTGAGGGATAGAATTGTTCAATGTACTGTGTAGCAACCTACTGAGGACTTTCAGGGATAAATTCTGTAGAAAACTACATTTGTTTCTAAAGTTGTGAAAGTTACATGATCTAGTACCTATATTCAGTGCATGCGGTTTTAAAGACTAACAAGTCTATCCCTCACTGCTTAGCTTTCATTGAATGATTCTAGTGTATTCGGTTAAACCTTTATTAAACCAAACAAGTAAGGAAGCAAGAGACAACGCCAAAATTCAGGTTTCACGTGTTTTAATTTCTGAAAAACAAGACAACACATGCCTGCAGTCAGGCAAAGGTCCTTCCCCTTCCATGCAGAAAGAAACCATGCTTGATTCAATCCAGCAGACTCAGTATCAGAGAAACACAGTGCTTATTGTGCTCAGACAATACTGGAGCAACCCATTGATCCATGAACATCTCATTACGTAAAAAAAACAAAAAGGTACATTACGGCTCAAAACAGAGCAAAAGTTGACAGTATGCTTTAGTTACATTGATTCTTTCAGGAATCATTACTGAGATCAGGTCAACCTTCTACAGGTCAAAGAAAAGGACAGGATGTTACGGAATGATTACGGAAAAAGTGACTGGGGAATTTCAGACAGATGGATTTAATCGACTTCCTCCATGCGAGAAGCGTCATCTTCTCCTTCCAGAGGTGGAATGTCTTCGGGAGCAGGAGCGGAGCTTGGCTCTTCCACAGGTACGTCTTCATCTTCATCAATACCTGAAGACAAAATAGGAGAATTAGTAACCGACCCAACTATATCAGGACTGAAACAAGAAATAAAGCTAGATCTGTCATGACAACTCTCGGAGGGATTGGCATGGTAATGTACATGACAATGTTATTGTTTTTGGTCTTGGCGGAATAGATCTGCTACGCTGCTGTGGCAGAGCAAGTACCGAGACTTGCTACTGCCAATATATCCACAACATGCTGCTGTGAGCATGTAAGAAATATTGCTGCTGCAAATATAACATGCATGAATCACCTCGTAGCAAATCTATACAGGTGGAGCTGGGGAAGGTGGAGAGTTTCTGAAGCAAGCTGCAACTGCAAGCACTAGTCATATTTAAATGTTGAGCAGCGAGCTCATTGGCTATCGATACAGGAGAGGACCAATCAGCTGTGCCATGTGATAATGATGTTATTAGGTCAGATTGAGTTAGACCTATCGGACTGCGCCATCTAGAGTTTCATTCCAGAACTCTGTATTTAAGCTTACCCAAACCCAGCTTGATCATTCTGTAGATGCGGTTCGAGTGTGTTTGAGGATCGTCCAATGAGAATCCAGAGGAAAGCAGTGCGGTCTCGAACAGGAGGATGACCAGATCCTTTACAGCCTTGTCGTTTTTATCCGCATCGGCCTTCTGCCTCAGGGTCTCCATGATGGGATGATCGGGGTTGATCTCCAGGTGTTTCTTGGCCATCATGTAGCCCATGGTGGAGTTGTCCCTCAAGGCCTGGGCCTTCATGATCCTCTCCATGTTGGCTGTCCAGCCGTAGGTGCTGGTCACGATACAGCAGGGAGAAGAAACCAGCCTGTTTGATACGGTGACCTGGAAGAAGAATCGCATCGGCATGAGAAAGGCAAGTTCTGGCTGATCACTTACAGTTGCTCATCACGGTTAGATCATACAGAAAACTCGTTAGTCACTCAACACCAATGCATGTCATTTGAAGAAAAAATGGTTACGAAGACTCAAGGAACACGCAGTAAAACTGGAATCATGTTTTTTTAACACATTTGAGTCTGCAAGCGAAACGCGAGGACACATCCGTTACATAAACTCACCATCTGTGCAACTCGGATGAGGAATCCTGTTTATAACACAATTTGGAAGAATTCATGCCTAATAAGGGTGGATTAAGACCAAAATAAACTAGGTTTCAGTTTGGTTCTTATGAACAGCTGCATTACGCAAAGACACACCTTCTCTACTTTCTTGTCCAGAATCTCCTTCATGAGCTTGCAGAGGTTCTCAAACTTGGCCTTGTCTTCCTCCATCTTTTTCTTCTCGTCTTCATCCTCGGGCAGCTCCAGACCCTCCTTGGTGACAGACACCAGAGACTTGCCGTCGAAGTCCTTGAGTTGCTGGATGCAGTACTCGTCGATGGGCTCGGTCATGTACAGCACCTCGAAACCTCTCTTGCACACGCGCTCCACGAAAGCGGAGTGGGCGACCTGGTCTTTGCTCTCGCCTGGGGAAGAACGACAACATCGATAGGAATAACTAAGTATATTTGATTCTTTAAAATAGGATTTAAGGGGGACAAAAAAAAACAAAAAAACAAAAAGGCAAAATCTATTAAAAAGTTTAAAAATATTTTATTTGGTAGTTAAGATTACTATTATGAGCCAAAAAAAAACGACTAAAAACAAATAAATGTTGTAATTTCACTGCTAAATAAAATAAAACAACATTACAACTGTAAAATTATTAGTGCTGTCAAACGATTAATTGCGATTAAAATCACATCCAAAATAAGTTTTATTTACATAATATATGTATGTGTACGGTGTTTATTATGTATATATAAATACACAGTGTATATTTTGAAAATATTTACATGTATATATTTATATAAACGTAAAATTTTTCTTAAATATATACATGCATGTGTTTGTATTTATATATACACATAATAAATATACACAGTACACACTCATATTACGTAAACAAACTTTTATTTTTGATGCGATTATTCGTATTTCCAAATGTTAGTCCCAGAAAACCCGTGAGCCCTTAAATCTTTTATGAATCGCCAACTACAAGTACAGGAAGATGGTTGGCGCATGTTGAGTTCCCAAATGCACGTTAATGTCACACTAAGCCATATTGTGGTTTTGATTTTTTTTTTTTTATTAATCGTGCAGCCCTACTTTAAATCACAGGCTGATGCTGATGAAGTCTTACCAGTGATGTAGTAGATGGACTTCTGGTTGTCCTTCATCCGGCTGACGTATTCTGTGAGGGAGGTCATCTCGTCGCCGGACTGCGAGCTCTGATAACGCAACAGTTCTGACAGCTTCTTGCGGTTCTGAGAGTCCTCGTGGATGCCCAGCTGGAATTCACAACAAACGTGTTAATACCGCTTTCTATCACGTTCTTAGAGGAAGTAACAGGAACAAAGTCTTGGATTCTTACTTTCAGATTCTTGGAGAAACCGTCGTAGAACTTCTTGTAGTTCTCCTTGTCCTCGGCCAGCTCGGCAAACAGCTCCAGGCACTTCTTGACGATGTTCTTGCGGATGACCTTGAGAATCTTGCTCTGTTGCAGCATCTCTCTGGAGATGTTGAGGGGCAGATCTTCAGAGTCCACAACACCACGGATAAAGTCTGGAGGGACAATTATTGGCTGTTAGTGAGACTCTGCACCATTTGAAACCTTCAATCCCACGATGTTTAGCTGCATTTGCAACGCATTCAACTTTAGTAATCATGCAGAAAGTATCATCAGCAGGAAATATTGTGGAGCAGGACCTTTTATAATGGACTGGACCATGAATAGACTATTATTCGACAACTTTACACAGAATTGATTATGTCAGCAGAAATCCAAAAGCAAAGGGGCAATTTCATGTTGAATTTAAGGGATAGTTCACCCAAAAATGAAAACTGCCATGTATTCATCCTCACGCCTTTCCAAATTCTTATGACTTTGGTTTATCTTTGAAACTCAAATTAAGGCTTTATTGAAAGCAGAGAGGTTTCGGTCCATTGAAAGTCCAGGTAACCAAAAAGGTCATAAAGGCATCATAAAATGTATCCATATGAATTGATCGGTTTAATCTAAGTCTAGTAAAGAACTATGATCGCTTTATATGATTTAATTTAGGCTTTTTGGATCTTTAAATTCGGGTCACCTGGACTTTCAATGGCAAAACCTCTCAAGTTTCATTAAAAGCATCTTATTTTGGGTTTTGAAGATGAACCGAAGTGTTATGACTTTGGAACGACATGAGGGGCGAGCGAATGGCAATTTTAATTTTTGGTGAACTCTCTCTTTAAATGCAAAGCTACTTACTCAGATACTCTGGGATGAGCTCCTCACAGCTGTCCATGATGAAGACCCTTCTGACGTACAGCTTGATGTTATTCTTCTTTTTCTTGTTCTCGAAGAGGTCGAAGGGGGCCCGGCGAGGGATGAAGAGCAGAGCGCGGAACTCCAGCTGACCCTCCACGGAGAAATGCTGCGGGACAATGCATAAAAGTCAGTATTTCATCAATTCTCTCAACACTGTTCTGCAGAATCCATTGTTACCTTGACAGCCAGGTGATCTTCCCAATCGTTGGTCAGGCTCTTGTAAAACTCTCCGTACTCTTCGTTGGAGATGTCGTCAGGGTTGCGGGTCCAGATGGGTTTGGTTTTGTTCAGCTCCTCCTGGTCGATGTACTTCTCCTTGATCTTCTTTTTCTTCTTGTCCTTGTCTTTGGAGTCCTCTTCATCATCTGAGCCGACATCTTCAATCTTGGGTTTGTCTTCACCTTCCTCCTTTTCCTCTTTCTCCGGCTTCTCCTCCTCTGCCTCGTCGTCGCTGATCTCCTTGTCGCGTTCCTTCTCCACCTGCATGGAAATTGGTATTTTACCATCGTTCTTTGCAGCACTCAACTACCAGAACAATTTGATCAGAAAAATTCAACTCCACTAATTAAACCGAATCCCACTCACGAAGAGGGTGATTGGGTATCCGATGAACTGCGAGTGTTTCTTGACCACTTCCTTCACTCTCTTCTCCTCAATGTACTCTGTCTGATCTTCTTTCAGGTGAAGAATGACTTTGGTTCCACGGCCGATGGGCTCACCTGGAGATCGACAGGTGTGTGAACAAAAATCACTCTTGATATTGCACTTGTGTGATCAAAAATGAGTTTGTAACGTACCATGGTCCACCTTGACCGTGAAAGAGCCGCCAGCGGATGACTCCCAGGTGTACTGCTCGTCATCGTTGTTTTTGGTGATGACCGTGACTTTTTCAGCCACCAGGTAGGCGGAGTAGAAGCCCACTCCAAACTGCCCGATCATTGAGATATCTGCACCAGCCTGGAGAGATGAATAGGGAACATTAGAGACTAAATCCAATGGAGAAATGCTGATAAATAGGGATGCAGCTAAGGTGGCATTTTCGGTTTTCGGCCAAAAGAGAAAAAATACGAGCTGAAAATATATGGATATATATTTTATTGGCTTGCATTTATTTTTAAAATTCAGTATCATTAAAATTATTCAGTTAAATTAAAGTCGGGACTTACGTCAGAGGCATTGGAGATGAGCTCCCTGAGGAAGATCTCTTTGTTGGAGTAGAAGGTGTTGATAATGAGAGACATCAGCTGGGCGATCTCTGCCTGGAAGGCAAAGGTCTCGGCCTCCTCCTCTTGGCGCATTTCTTCAGGCATCTGAGAAAACCAATTCAGTTCATCTTTATTATATCCGTCAACATGATTTAACATGACTACAAACTATATACTTTAACATAAGTGCACATTACGGATTCATTTTGGTTTATAAATGTCTAAATTGGACAAAATGTTAAATGAAAATGAAAGCATTTATCCACTTCCATCAGTTGTAGTACAGTTACACAAGAAAAACCGGCGCATAAAGGCCCCGGATGCGGAAGAACATGGCGCAGAAGGACAATGAGCTGAACACGTGTTTTACTGCTGAAATCCTTGAAATTAAACCGATTTAGATACGTATTGCTTTTTTTTTTCTTTTTTTTTTCAGCGGAATAAATCCCATTTCATGACACTTTTTCCAATAACTTTAAACGCAAAACGACTAACTAAAGAGATTTGATTGTATTTGATACACCAACACCCCATTCGGAACATCTGCGGTTCTTGGCAGTGTGGATGCAAGTATATATAGATATGAATTATAACGACAAATTGAGAAAAAGATGCTTAACTATAACAAGCATCGGTTATATAGCATTGTTCAACCACTGCACCTGCTCACCAACTCCTTAAATAGAAATAAAAACAAATAAACATTACAAACTACAAAAACGTACGATTTATTTCAAAAGAAGAAAAAAAAGAAAGAAATCTTATGAAAAGATGACCGCGTCTGTAGATCGGAGATAAGTGCGCCGGTTAAATAGTGAATGAAATAAATAGATTAAACAACGTTCTTTTAGTCTAGATTAATTCCTGAAGTTATAGGGAATCATTTCAAATGGAGATCGATGGCTTACCTTGGTTAGTTTCGTTGGTTTTTGATGGTTTATTCGCCACAGAAACAGCTGATCTCCCCTACGCTGATACTCAGGGAAGCAGAGAGGAGAGAACCCCGCGTGCGCGGCTCTTTTCTTACTTGCGCGGCTGTATCCCTCCGCGCTGACGCACTCTGCAGTGTTGCCAGGTCCGCTTCTTTAACACTGTAGGCGCAGTTGTTTTTCATGTCCGTGGGTTGAAGCGACAGCAATAATGTGATATTTAGCACCTGGAATGTTCATTTACCAGGGGAACCCGCCAAAAAACCCGTGTATTTTACCCTCGGAATGCGATTTGCACCGGTGGAACCCCCAGAAACGCTATTGGGTTAGATTGGGTAGTTTTGTTGTGAAAACCTGGCAACCCTGACACTCTACACTGTTTTATTTGTGTAAATCGCATTTATTCCCAGCCACAAATGCAGTATTTTACTAGCTGCATCAGATATAAATAACGTAAAAATTACGGAAATAATATAGTAATACATTAACTATAACTTAACTTATACATTAACTTATAACTTAAGAAACGCTTAATAAAAAAAACAATAAAAACAAAATTTAGAACTTAAAATACTTCTAGAGTCAGTTATTTTAAGATTCGTATTAAATTTTCCTGCAAGAAAGGACCCGGAATTAGTTAAACAATTCCGTTTCGTATTAAAAGCCAACGATTTCCTTGCACATTATTATAAATAAACAGTAAGCATGTTTATATGACTCTTTGTAACTATATTAAAATCTGTGATATTTAATAAACGCTAGATTGTTCGACAGGGATTGATCGATCAGGCTGATTCGGTGGAACAGTTATAAAAACAGGTAACGTTTGGTAAGATGCGGGCAAAATGTGTGCTTCCCTGATTGGAAACTCTTTATACAATTCTCACGTTGTCAAAATAGATATTTTTATCATTAAAACATGAAGTAGTCAAATAGTCAGTGTGAGAAATGCACATAACAAGGCGTAATCGACTGCACTATGTTCTGCATCGGAAGAACATCAGTCGTTGGAACTAGCGGTGCTTTGTCTCTTTCCAGCACTTTCCATCAAAGTCCCGCCTTCGCTGACGTCACCTGTCACTCAAATGCAGTTTGCAGCGTAGAAGGGCGAATCTGAAGAAACGTCTGGTTAAATTTCACACCAAAATCAAAAGAAAAACAATACGAAATTATTTCTGAATGTCAGCGGTGCTTTGTCTCTTTCCAGCACTTTCCATCAAAGTCCCGCCTTCGCTGACGTCACCTGTCACTCAAATGCAGTTTGCAGCGTAGAAGGGCGAATCTGAAGAAACGTCTGGTTAAATTTCACACCAAAATCAAAAGAAAAACAATAAGAAATTATTTCTGAATGTCCCTAAAATACGTTTAATTCCCCCCCCTGGAAATTTATTGACCGTTTTGTGAGATTCACAACTGAATTTGAATATTTTCTTGGTGTTGTTCCATTTCATGCGCAATTAATGAAATACAAATATAAAACCTTGGAAGTGAATGAACAATTCTGCTGTGGCACATTCTGAGTTCATGTTTCATTTAGAATCAACAGAGAATATGGTTTGCAATAACACGCAGTAAAACAATAATAGAAAAACTATTTATAGCCAAATGACTACAATTAAAAGGAGAGGAACTAAATACTTCTATCATACTATTTCGAAATTATTTCAGAATGTCCCCCCCCCCCTATAAATAGAAAAACTATTTATAGCCAAATGACTACAATTAAAAGGAGAGGAACTAAATACTTCTATCATACTATTTTTTTTACATTTGCGATAAATGTGCAATTGTTTTGCAGACTTTTATGAAGTACATGCAGAATCTAATTCTAATAATTGTGAAAGATCATATTATCATATCCGACACCAAGAAATTCTAAGAGCAAACTTGTTGTATATTTTCATTAAATTTGTTATTTGTTTATTTAATTTAGATTTTTTTTTTTTTTTTAATCAGAGTTCTTTTAACTTGCCCGTTATTTTCCCACAATTCCATTTCACCGGAAACGGCAGGTTCGATTGCGCGTTGCTTTTACCACGGATCCGGTGAACTTTCCGTGCGAGAAGCCAGTTGATATCGATTTGGATTGAGTGAGTACTATTTATTCAAGTATTAGTTATCTTTTTGAGTTCATATTGTCATAGTCTCGTACAGGACTTTGATAAAACGAGTTAATCCGTTGATAGAGGTCAGAATAAAGGCTTTTTATGAACGTTAGCTCGCGGCTAGCAGTTGCCCGGTCTGACACAAATGTTTCCCGCTGCTATTTTCTGACAAACCGGTCTGATTTATGGGTTTAAAATGACTACATTTCATATAAGCAACACAATTTCCGCGATTAAGCGCGTTAGTTATCATACACCTGCTTATTTGGTTAGCTAACGTCAATGGTTAGTCACGTTGGGAGACGTTACACCAACGTGAAATCGGCCTTTAAGTAGTTTTAAGATCTTTCGTCTGATTTCAACACTTTCAGTTAATCTCAGATTGATTTCAGTCCTTCAAGTTCAGTTCAGGTTGATTTTCAGTCCTTACAACATTTCAAGTACTTTCAGTTTGATCTGTCAGTGCATTGTTGCTTATTTAGAGGACGATTTATTACAATTTAGGTAATTTCATGTCTTTTAGAATTACTTAAGCTTTATTTCAAACCTTTAAACTGATTTCATGTTGATTTTAGAACTTTAAGCTGGTTTCAGGTCGAATTCAGGCTGATTCAATCATCCTGAAATCACCTGATTGGTCTGTCAAGATTTTCTGTTTTGGTGTATATGTATTTATGATTTTTAAAAATGATTATATGCTATAAATTAAAGGGATAGTTCACCCAAAAATAAAAATTCTGTCATTAATTACTCACCCTCATGTCGTTCTAAACCCGTAAGACCTCCGTTTACGAAGATGTTACAGAATTTTCATCTTTGAGACTTTAGTCTTTGCAAATTTACAGATCTTCTTTATGCACCAAGAGCTTGTAACACTCCAAAAAGAAAGGAAAAAATGAAATCGCATCATATGACCCCTTTAAAGTCAAATTTAACTGCTTTAAACATGGGCTCAAGTAATAGTACTATAGGTACTTACTATTGCAGAACTAACTTACGAGAAGATCTTGATTGTGTAAGCGGAGCAGTGTGTGTATCATAGCAGCCTAAACGTTATGTAAACCCCTGTTATTAAAGTTGTTAATAATGTGTTTCTCTTCTGTGTAAGGTGGGTGCTCTGCCCAAGATGTCTTTCCCTCCTCATCTCAACCGGCCACAAATAGGCATCCCAGCGATGCCGCCAGGAATCCCTCCACCACAGTTTGCTGGGTTTCCACCGTCGATGCCTCCCGGTAATCAAGATAAACTAGATATGTCATACATATTAGTGCTGCTGTAGCTCAACTATTAGATCATAGAGTTAGCAACAGCGAGGTTATGGGTTCGATTCGTAGGGAGCATGAACTGGCAAAATGTATCTACGGCTATGTGTAGTAAATGCTGCTCCATCTGAAAGCACGTGATGATGATTTCCTGCTGATTACAGAACCGGCTTTTTTAACAAAATGCGCATGACAATCGCATTCGATTAATCGTGCAGCCCTACCTGTAAGTTGCTTTAGATAAATACGTCAGCCAAATGCATACATGTTGATTATAATGGCAGGATTCATTGGAGTACAGAGCATTCAGTGAGCTTTTATGAAGGTGTCAACTGTTACAGCTTGATTATAACAGCATGGTGTTGCTTGCTTTGAGTATTCAAAGTTTGAATAACAGGTTTGTTGTCATACTGCTAAGTAAGTGTGATAAAGTTAATTAACTCATAACCAACCAATATGTATTTGGAGCCCTATTTGAGTTAATGTAATATTTTCAAGCTAGATAATGGACTCTTCACTTGTTTTTGAGAGGCCACATAAGATCTGTTAAGCATTGCTAGATGAGCAGTTTCTATGCTAAATGGTTTGGGCCTAAATGATTTGCATTATAAAATGTGACTTGCATGAAAAATTCAAATTAGAGTGAATATTTTCTGATGTTGTTGATTTTTCTCCTTTCTAGGAACCCCAATGATTCCTGTCCACATGGGGATTATGACTCAAGCCCCTGCGGTAATGTTATTTAATTCTAGAACAATTTAGTTCTTTGAGTTAGTTTAGTCATTTCCAGTCTAAATGTATGTATGTAAGGAAGTATTTATTATCACTATAAAAAGTATTGCTATATTATAGAGCTGGGTTAAAAATATTGATATCCAAATTTTATTTGATTTTCATCATGAAGAACCTATATCGATTCTTAAATCCCAAGAATCGATAATTTAGTGTGTTTTTATTTTATTTTTCAGTTGATGCATGAATAAAACGTCACTAGTCATTGTGTGCACATCCCATATAATAATCGCAATAAGCTTTGTGCTTGGTTTCTTTTGATATGAAAAAGTCTCAGCTTTCAAATCCTGTCAGTTTTATCACAAAATAAAAAAAATAGTTTTGTGTGCGCTTTAATGTGGTGTGACAGAGCGCTGTATCTGCCTCAGTTCAAGCAGCACGTGAACTCATCTCTTCCTGTTTAGTACAGCACAAAATAAACATCAATGAACATCAGAAGGTTTTTAAAGAAACAGAACAACTTACTGAAATGTATCCAGTTTCATGTAATCGCTCAGTGTTTCAATGAAACAGCTTGTAAGCAATGTCACATGACATCACATTTATTTTAGCAAAGGCATTCAATGTCCATAATTTTGTTAGTTAGCTAGAAAAATAACTCTAGAGAGGAGCCTTTTGCTAAATCTGTGCAATGCATAATTAGAAACATAGTTATATCATTACAATATACAGTGAAAAACATTCTATCATTACAAAATTGATCTAAAACATAAATGTAAAATGTCTGTATTCAGAAGTTTTTCTTTGAGTGTTTTATTGTGTCTAATATAAACAGATATTGAAATTGGTACTCTGTTGTTCGTTTTAACCTGACAGGCATCTCTATAGTTTAAAGCATTTGTTGAGAGATTATTTTCTTTAAGAAAATTTCACATGTACTGTACCTGATATACAGTATATCCAAATGAATTGATATTGAATTGAATCAAAATCGAATCAGTTTGTGAAATCTGTGTTAATACCCACCCCTAGTGTTTTCCTTTGTTTCTCAAGTATCTATCTCTATTCATGTATCTGCTTAGATTCCATTGCTTTGAAGTAAATTCAAAGTGTTTAAAACCGTAGAATTAAGTAATAATCTCATTAAAACAAGGCATGTTTTTCAATAAATGAACACAAGGAATAAAGATATTTAACAATTTATTTATATGCAACCATGCACAGTAATAAACAGCAATATTTACTTGCATATGTTTGTACAAAAATATTTTAATATGCAAAAAATACTATGCCGATGCTTTCTGTTGAATCAGATTTTCATATAGAAGCTAAATCTCATTTTAATATATGTCACCATCATGTTTTTTGTCACATGGCTGCATATTAATTGTGATATGATGTATCAGGTTCTCGTGCCCACGGCGATGTCTGTGGTTAGTAAAGTTGCTGTTCCTAGGAAGGAAAGCGCTGCTCAGGCAAAAGACAACCATGACAGCAGCGGCCCCACGACCACCGTGTTTGTGGGCAACATCTCTGAGAAAGCGTCTGACATGCTCATCAGACAGCTGCTGGCCGTGAGTAGCACATCAGATCCAGTCACTCTAGTCTCAGAGCTCAACCAATAATAATCACAGTTCAGACTTATGCATTCTCTATGCATTCAGCAATGTGGAGATCCTTGCGTCAGAGATGGGAAAAGCTTCACTTGATAATAGTTTGAGTTTTGCTCTAAAGTGAAATTTAATGTTTAGTGTTATTGATATTAATTGATATTGGATTGAATATGAATTGATATGGATAATAATCACTTGTTTTTCAGAAATGTGGTTTGGTATTGAGCTGGAAACGAGTTCAAGGTGCCTCAGGGAAACTCCAAGGTAAACATTTTTTTAACACCTAGACTCATTTCTTTTCAGCCCAGTTAGTTTCACTCAAAATCAATATTGTGATAAGGTTTAGTGCGAGTTGATTGAATTAATGCTTCACTGGTCTCAAGCATGGTATTTACACGCGTGTTGTTCATGATTCAGTGACTCAGTGTTCCAGTGTCTGAGAACGGCTTCGTTCATTCACGTTCTGAGCTGTTCTAAGTAGGGTTGGGTATGTTTTTTTTTTCTTTTTTTCTCGATAACGGTGCCAAATCAATACTTGTTAAAAAATAAATAAAATAAAAAAATCCCCCCCAAAAATGATGGATTGGCCAATAGCACTATAAACACATGATGTCTGTTTCATTCATACTGGACGCCAGAGGGCACACTCGCACAGAAAATCCACATATCCAGTCACAGAAGTAGAGAACTGTGACTCTCCAGGAAATCCCTTATAAATGATAAAACAAAGACAATAAACACTCGACTGCGACAATATAGTTTATCTGTGTTATGTAAGCCATCTCTGGTATTTTCACAATAATTAAGTATATTTATAATAGGGTGAACATTTTAGTTTAGGTACCGGTGCCATATTGGTACCGGGTTTCGGTACCCAACCCTAGTTCTAAGACACTGATATCATGAACTGCTTGCATGTAAATGAACACACAAAACTGAGCTTCACTATGAGATCAGCAGTGCATATTTTCATTTGCCTGTCGAATCTAATCAAAATAAAAGCTGGAGGATGGTTTACTGTTTGAAAATGAAGAAATTAAGTCATAAATATTAGTGTTGTAATTTTACAGTAAAATGTCAATTTTACATTATTGTATGTATTACAATAAATTTCTTTATTTTAATATATTTATAATATCTCAATATTATAATCAATAATCAAAATAAAATCATGACAATTATTATTTTAGTCATATTGAATTGGTCAAAAACGGCGAGAAGGAGGCCTATGAAAACTTGAGTGGAAATATTTTTAAAACTGAAAACTTTGGTTACTGAAAGAGGCTTGAATTGGTTCTTGTAAAAGGTAAATCCAAGTATGAACACCCAAATTTATAAATTATTTCCCAAATCTTGCAGCCCGAAAAGGATAAAAACATTTAAAGTAAAGCCTTTATTTAAAGTCATTTCATTTTCAATGCAGATACACTCCCCAACACTAACTTTAGAACGATTCATTCTTTCTGAATATAGCTATTCAAGTGATCTGCTGAAAATTCCTGCATTTTTTCAAATTGCAAATTATCTAGCAGAAAAAGAAAATATTGCTATGTCAGGTTTTTTTTTTTTTTTTTTTTTTTTTTTATCATATGGCCCTAGTTGCATTGCCTGTGAATTGTGAATATGCCAGACTGGCTCCTCACAGACATCTTTTTTGTTCTTTGCTTTCAGCGTTTGGTTTCTGTGAGTACAAAGAGCCTGAATCTACTCTACGATCTCTACGGCTGCTGCATGAGCTGCAGATTGGAGAAAAGAAACTTCTGGTCAAAGTCGATGCCAAAACCAAAGCACAACTGGATGAGTGGAAAGCAAAGAAGAAGAGCATCAGTGAAAATGGAGTAAGTGTAACAGTTTGATGTCAGGTTGATACTAAAATAAAAACGTACTGTTCACTTGTTGAGAAAAATGTTATATAAAATTTTCAGACTGCTGATTTTGTGACTGTCTCAGATGCTGAGTTTTGATCTGTGTGTCTGGCAGAATGGCAAGGCAGAGGATGGTGCTGGTGAAGAGGAAGAGGAGGTTCTGGCTGAAGAAACGAAGAAGCGGGACCAAATTGTCAAAGGTGCCATTGATGGCCTGATCCGGGAGTATTCAAACGAGCTCAACGCTACATCACAAGACGATGAGTCGAGTCGCCGCAAAAAGAGGAGAGAAAAGAAGGACGAGGTTGGCTTTAGTTCATCTTGGCCTTTTGTTCTTGAATGTTTTTGCCGGTTGTTTGATGTACATGTGTGTTTAAATATTTGTTTTATTTTATTTTTCTTGTGTGTGTGTGTGTGTGTGTGAACAGTTTGATGTCAGGTTGATACTAAAATAAAAACGTACTGTTCACTTGTTGAGAAAAATGTTATATAAAATTTTCAGACTGCTGATTTTGTGACTGTCTCAGATGCTGAGTTTTGATCTGTGTGTCTGGCAGAATGGCAAGGCAGAGGATGGTGCTGGTGAAGAGGAAGAGGAGGTTCTGGCTGAAGAAACGAAGAAGCGGGACCAAATTGTCAAAGGTGCCATTGATGGCCTGATCCGGGAGTATTCAAACGAGCTCAACGCTACATCACAAGACGATGAGTCGAGTCGCCGCAAAAAGAGGAGAGAAAAGAAGGACGAGGTTGGCTTTAGTTCATCTTGGCCTTTTGTTCTTGAATGTTTTTGCCGGTTGTTGATGTACATGTGTGTTTAAATATTTGTTTTATTTTATTTTTCTCGTGTGTGTGTGTGTGTGTGTCTATATATATATATATATATATATGTATATATATGTACACACACACTCACATTTAATTTTTGAAAATACTGTGTACGCAATTTTACACGAAATTTAAAAAATGACGTATGTTTTAAAAAATATTTTGGTTGGACTTTATTTTACAGTACATGTACTTTCAGTGTACTTACCCAAAGATAGTACTGTTAGTAGAAGGTAACTACATGGGTTAAGGTTAGGTTTAGAGGTAGAGTCAGGGTTATTACCTAGTTGTTACCCAGCTATTGTGATTGCTATAATAACAACATGGTATGTACACGTGGAACAGGACTGTAAAATAAAGTGCTACCTATATAGGGTACATTACAAATTTGAACCATGTTCTCCATTTCTTTAGGATGACATCAGTGCCATGGAAATGGAAGATGATAAAAGAGATCTGATTTCCAGAGAGATCAACAAATTCCGCGATACACACAAGGTAAAATACTTGCTAATTTACTCCATATCACAGGTAGAGCACAACAGCCTCTTACACCTAGTTTAATTTGACAACATACCAGCATGAGTAGATGCTATTTAGCCTGTCAATTCCATTTAGCTCAGCAACACTTCTATTACATTTAAGCTTTAAATTATATGATATAGTGCAGCAATATATTAGTTTAAGACTAGGCCTCATTTGGGTCCACAGCATTTATATCAGTGGTTTTGTAAAAACTGTAGTGTGGCCTTCATGTTAAGGGTGGGAAATGTAGTCACACATACAATGCATGGACGTTCTGTGCACTTCCCTAAAAGCTAATCTATTCATTAAACCCCACCATTATGATAGAGATCATATGGTGACTAAACCAAGATGAATCTCTCAGCTTTGGAAAAAGTTGCAAGGATAGGATGTAAGTATGAGATTTCCATTTTTCTCTACTTGTACTGGGCGCCCCCTTCTGGAGGACTCGCACAGGGGCAACTGCACCGACTCGCTCTGAAATTCAGCTCATTCGTGTGGTTTTAATATCAAAATAGATATGGGGGTGTTCGGTCAACTCTGCAGTGTTTACTAAGGGATAAACTGCTAAACGACACATTTTCTGGTTCTTTGAGACATGGGTGGCCAGTGAACCTGTGTGGGTCTGCTAGTAAAAGTGATGTTGGTGCTATAATAGATCATGCTGACTTGAATAACAGTGAATTGGCCGATTCGGCTCTTGTGAAAGTAGGGGGCGCCCCTCCACAGCACACGGACTTTCTGAAGATTCTACAGGTATGAATTTGCTTTCATTTTTGCTCTTCATTCCTGCTTGCTTGCACTATTTTATTTTATTTTTATTTTTTTCATTTTAAGTGTTTCTTTGTTTGTGTGTGTGCTCTCTCAACGTCATCTTAAAGTATTCTTTTGTTGTAGAATTACTACAAAACCCAGAAAATAGAGGCTAATATTTAATTCATAAAGTCGGTCTCATAACACTAAGTATTATACTTTTACACGTCACGGACACAAATGAGTTCTCAAGTCATACAGCTTGAGGAGAGATTACATTTATCAAAAGTCCCCATATCTAGAGACCAGAATAGACTTGTCATGAGCTCTTTTGAATTGAACCATTTAGTGACCACCCACATCACCATAGCAAGTGCGTAGCAACATTAAAGAAAGAAAATAAATAAATAATAATTTAAAAAATAATTTTACACACAATTTTAAAGATATTAAAAATATTTTTTATAATATATATTTCAAAGTATTCAGAATTGGTGGGTGAAAATCTGTAGTTCTTGGTCTACAACAGTGCTATTTTATTTATATACTATTTATTAATCTTTTGGATTAGATATTAAATATTTGGAGTTTCCATTTTAAGCTTTAGAAATGTGTGCTTTTGTAATTTTTATTATTTATTTATTTAGCTTTAATTTGTTTTTGTTTCTAATTTTAGGAATTTTATAACTTCAACTTAATTTTTCAATTATTTGCCAAGGCAACATAAAAAAAAATAAGTTTAAGTTTTTCAACTTAAACTTAAAATTACTATCTATATTTTATTTTATTTCAGCTTTATTTCAATTACTTGGACCATTAGTAACCACCCACATCACCCTAGCAAGTGCATATACATTGTATAATATATTTTACAATATTTAAAAAATGTTATATAATATAATTTTTTGAATTTAATAAAAAAAAAATGTTGAGCTACAAAATATATATATACCAAAGTATTCAGGTGTAGTGGGTCAAAACAACATAATTTATCAACTATTATAGTTTTTTTTTATTTATTTTTTTAATAAGTTGTATTTTTGAGTTTTAGTAGTTTGAAATTTTAGTATTAGTAGTTTTTTTAAATATGCTTTTCTCATTTGTAATACTTGTTATATTCTGTTTAGCTTTATTTTTGCTTTTAGTTTTAGTCATTTTACTTAAACTTATTTTATTTCAGTTAGTTGCCAAGCAACATTTCACATTTTCTAAAGGTTTTTTTTGTTCATCTACTATCTATCTTTCTATCCACATAGCAATACTTTTAAATGTGCAGTAGTTTTCATGAGATTGAAGACTTCATGTAAAATGTGATTCATTTTGCTGATCTAAAGATTTGTGTAGCTTACCAAACTATCCCGTTTAATTCACCAGCAGAAATGTTATTTAAAAGCAGCATCACTTGTAAATGACATGCGTTTATGTAATTATTTTCAGCGAAATGCCTGTATCCACAGTTTTTGTTTTCCTGTCTCGTCTTCACCTCCTGTTGTACATGTTTATTTGCTGCTGCTGCTCACAGTTGCGTAACACCCACGGTTCAGCGCTAATGAAATAGTTTCGTATTAAAATTAGACTTTTACATATATTTACAATGAATTCAGGAGACTTTAGTTTTCTGGGAAGTAGAAGCTGTTGATAGATGACACTCAGTTGGATTGAGTCTAAAGCGGTGGGTGTCATGCTGCTCTTCAGTGCATTTCACAATCGCTCAGTCTGATCCCCTGAGAGCCTGTCATCTGCAGTGGGGTAAGCAGTCTCTACACCTTCATTTGTTGCCTTTTCTGTCCAAACCACAAAGAAAAAGAAGCAAATCTAACAAATACAGTATGCAATGCTCCTGTCACAGCGTTTTCAAAATGTCTGGAAGTTGTCTGTGAGATTGTTGCAAGCAAAGAGAATAGTTTGTTTTTTGTTTTTCCTTGTGAATCCTTTGACCTGCTTTTCCTCCCAGGCCTAACAATAAAGGCTTGTAGGGCCACGGAAGCGCTGTGAGTCGCTAGTCAACACCTGTAAGTGCACAAACAACTAGTTTCACAAGGATTGAAGCCTCTTTCTGTTGATCATGTGATGAGACGGAAATTACAGCGCCCTTAAATGGTCTGATCTTATTCATTTTGCAATGTCTGATTAATATCTCGAAAGTGGTTTCCAGGCTTCCTTTTATTAATTGCTGAACAATTTCTTGATTTACTCACTGTTTCGTCTAGATACTGTCCTCTGTCATCATGCAGGGCGATTCAAAAGTCATAAAGAGTCTGATTCGTTTAAATTAAGTTTTAGGAAACTTTTAAAATAAAGTCATGACATGCATGTATGCAAGCCCGTTTCCATTGTGGAATATATAAAAGAAAAGGTAATCACAGTTTTAATTTTTTTTCTCGTAATTCAGTTTATATCTCAATCCAGATTTTTTTTCACGCATTTATTCTAGATATATAAGATTGTGGAAGAAAAAAAATTCTGAATTGAGGGGAAAAAAAGTCTGAACTCACAAACCTATGAAATAAATTTATGAGATAGTTCAGCATATTTCATATTAAAATTAGACTTTTTCTCCTCATAATTCTGAATTTATATCTCACAATTCTGACTTCATATATATATATATATATATATATTGTGAGATATAAACTCAAGTAGTTTAGCATATTTGTTATTAAAATTAGACGATTAAATATTTTTAATGAAGCACGGAGACTTTTTTCTCACAATTCACAAAAGTTTATCTCTCACATTTCAGACTTTTTTTTGCAATTATATAAGATGTGTATAAGATAGCGAGATAAAAGTTGGCAAGTTTATGAAATCAAATTGATGAAATAGTTCAGCAGACTTTATGACTTGCAATTCCAAGTTTATATCTCGCACCTTTTTTTATTTTTATATTCTATTTTTTTTTATTCTCAATTGAGTTTATATTTCTAAATTCAGACTTTTTCTCGCAATTATAAGATGTATATATGATTGCAAGATATAAACTCTGAATTTGACTTCTCGCAATTCCACGATTATATTTTGCAATAGATTTTTTTTCTCTGAATTCTGAGTTTCAGTTTTTTTTTTTCACCACAAACTAAAAAATAAAAAAGGTAATTGCGACTTATTTCACAATTCCGACTTTTTTTTTCAGAATTGTGAAAGTTGCAGAAGCAAGCCCCGCCAACAGGAATTGCAAACTTAAAATTAAAAATCAAAATTACAGACTTCACTTTTAAAATTCTGCATTATTTCTCTGTTTCTAATCAAATAGGTATTTAATCATGTGGCTCTTTGTAGATGTTTTTGCTTCCATTGAAGCTAAAGATGCTCTTGATCTCAGATCAAGCTGGAGAACATGATCATAAGGTTTTGTTCATGTAGTGCTGCTGGCATTACAAAAATCAAATACTGAGACGTTCTCAAATTCATGTTCATTTCTCAATTCAAAATTTGACTCGTTGTAATGCTGATAATATAATTATTATAATTTAAATACTCTAGTGATCTCAGACTTTAGGTGGCTGTATATGAGTGCATATGTGAATGAACTGTAAACCACTTCCTCATAGAGTGATGTTGTGTCTTGGACTCTTGTCTTGTGCATGAGCAGTCGCTAATCTGAAAACTTCCCTCCCCGTTTTCCCACAGAAATTGGAAGAGGAAAAGGGGAAGAGAGAGAAGGAGAGGCAGGAGCTGGAGCGGGAACGCAAGGAGAGAGACAAGGACCGCGAGAGGGAGCGCGAACGACGAGACCGCGAGCGGGAGAAGGACCGAGAGAGGGAGCGGGAGAGAGAGCGGGAGCGCGAGAGGGAGAGAGAGAGAGATCGAGACCGTGAGCGCACGAAAGAGCGCGAGAGGGAGAGAGACCGAAGCCGCGATCGCAGCGAAGACCGCAGTCAATCCAGGTACACGAAACGCCACGTTGTCAAGTGCTTGTTGTTTTCTGAATATATTCATGGGCTTCACATTTTCCACCCATTTCCCCATCAGTCATCACTTGTGCTCAATGGTCTATACATTACCTTTTAATAATTGTTTATTTTTAAATATATTAACATATTTTAACTTAATCTTAACATTTATATTTATCTTATTTTATGAACGCACACATATATACACACTTGTTTATAAATATTTATATTTATGACTATTTATTATATTTATTTATTGTTGATCTGTATTTGATATCTTTCACCAAGGTATTTATTCAAATTTTTATATTAACATTTTCTCAATTATATTCATCTCAATTTATCAACATTTAAATTTCTATTTATTTATAAATGTCTGTTTACTTATACAAATCAATTGAAATATTGATACCTTTTAGCAAGGTATTTATTCATAAATGTATATTTCTAGTGACTTTTCTCATTTATATTCATCTCATTTTCTTTATTAGCATTTCTTTTTCTATATATTTTTACATTCATATTTATGAATATTTATAAATAAAAACAGACAAATTGCTGAACTGTATTTGATAACCTTTTAACAAGGTATTTATAATAAATATTGATGCATTTATATTAACATTTTCTCCTTTATATTTTAATATTTTATTTATATATTTTTATATTTATACATTTATATTTTTGAATATTTATTTATCAGTGTAAATATACAAATTGTTGTATAAAATTGTAAATTTTTATTTATACTAACATTAAATTATATTTAATTTATTATTTATATTTAATTAGATTTTATCAACATTTTATACATCTCATTTGTACAACATTGAATTTATTTATATTTAGACATTAATAAAACATTTAAATAAATACATAGATATACAAAATGTTAAGGTATTTATGATCCTTTTGTTTACAACAATTTTATTATTACTATTGTTTTTTTTTTTGTAGAGCTACAAAATGTATATGCCAACATATTCAGTTTTAGAGTCAAAAACTGAAGTTCTGTGTCTACAATAAATGTCAAACTTCAGATATCACGTGATTGGGCGCTGTCTGCTTTCAGAGAACAGAGTCGCGATAGAGACCGAGATAAGGAGAAGAAACGTGATCGTGAGGAAGATGAGGAAGAGGCGTACGAACGGCGTAAACTGGAGAGGAAGCTGCGAGAGAAAGAGGCGGCGTATCAGGAGGTGAACGACGTCTCTGACTGTATTCAGTCTCTCTGATCACATTATTGAATGATTAGCTGTCTGGATAGATGATTTACCTTCTTTAACTACTCAACAGCGTCTGAAGAACTGGGAGCTCAGAGAGAGGAAGAAAGCCAGAGACTACAGCAAGGAGATGGAGAGGGAGGAGGAACGCCGGCGTGAGATGGTAAACTACTTTTTTCTTAATCTATTTAAATCGGCATTTCAGCCTGATCTAAAATATATGGATAATATGGAGAATGTTTCCAAAATAAATTGATAACTGTATTCAAATATTGCATTTAAATATTACATTTAAATATTTAAATATTATAAATTTTATTATTCTAATTGTATTAATGAATAATAAGTTGATAAATATATTCAGATATTGCACTGTATTATTGTATTATAATGTATGCAATGTATTTTAATTATTTTGGTAATTATACATTTTTTTTATTGATGGAAAAAATGGATAAATATATTCAAATATAGTATTGAAAAGAATTATTTTATTTCATTATTTGTAAATTATTATTTTTATTCATGGAAAAGTAAATAGATAAATATATTCTAATATATAGTATTTAAATTAATTGTATTATTTCACTATTTTCATTTTAACATTTTTTTCATTAATTGATGAAAAATAAGTTGGTAAATATATTCAAATATAGTAATTAAATGGTATTTAATTGTTTTTCTTTTTATTATTTATATAATGAAAAATTTACGAGAAATATATTCAAATATAATAATTGAATTATTTAATTTAATTGTTTTTATTACATTAATGAAAAATAAATGAATAAATATTTTCAAATATAGTATTTAAATGAATTTTATTATTTCAATATTTTATTATTTTTTATTTAATGAAAAATAAGGTGGTAAATATATTAAAATGTAGTATTTAAACGAATTATTATAATTTTTTTTAACGATTAAGTCTTTTTTATTATTTAATAAATGGAAAAATAATGTGGAGAATGTTTGTGTTTAAATTACTGAATGTTTCTCTCATATCGTTTTCTCAGGCTAAAGAAGGGAAGCGGCTGAAGGAGTTTCTGGAAGACTATGACGATGACAGAGACGACCCAAAATACTACAGGTGAGTTCTCTGCACCACATGTATGCTTTGCATCGGTCGATTTCAGTCGTCTCTTGACGTTTTGAGTACAGTATGGTGCAGACTGTCTGTGAAACTGAGACTGTGACCCAGATGGTTTGTTTCTCTGCTCTGCCTGCAGGGGCAGCGCTCTTCAGAAGCGTCTGCGGGACAGAGAGAAGGAGACGGAGCTGGATGAACGTGACAGGAAGCGGGAGAAGGAAGAGCTGGAGGAGATCAGGCAGAGGCTGCTAGCAGAAGGACATCCTGATCCAGACGCTGAGCTGCGCAGGGTGAGTCCACGAGACCGCATTACTGCTCCATCCAGATATACTTCAGATATTCAGATGCATTTATTGAAATGCACTTTAAATACATATCAATCAGATAAAAATATAAATTGATACATATATATTCAAATGTAGTATTTAAATGATTTTATTTCATTATTTTCTTATTATTGACAATTTGATACATAAATTCAAATGTAGTATTTAAATGAATCACATTATTCATCTAAATTATTTTAGTAATTTAGTAATAATTTATTAATGAATGAAAAATAAATATTCAAGTGTAGTGTTGAAATAATTTAATTTCATGTTTCAATTTTATTAATTGCTTTTATTAATTATTAGCTATTTAGTTGATACTAATATTAATGTGTAGTATTTAAATAAGTTATGTTACTTATTAAGTTATGTCTTCTGCTTTTCAAATACTTGTTTCAAATCAAAGTTTGTTTAGTGATTCATCTCAGTGCTGACTTGTGTATCGTGGCTTAAAGCCTTCTTAGTACCTCTGGAGCCAAAGTGCTATTCATCTAAATTATTTTAGTAATTTAGTAATAATTTATTAATGAATGAAAAATAAATATATTCAAGTGTAGTGTTGAAATAATTTAATTTCATGTTTCAATTTTATTAATTGCTTTTATTAATTATTAGCTATTTAGTTGATACTAATATTAATGTGTAGTATTTAAATAAGTTATGTTACTTCATTTAAATTATTAATTTGTTATGAATTAAAAATAAATTAAATCTAATCAGTTATTTTATTCAATTGTAATTTTATTGTTTTAAGGATTGAAAAATAAATTGATAAATATATTCAAGTATAGTATCTAAATGAAATAATTAATTTTATTATTTTTTAATTTATGAAAAATAGATTGATAAATATAATATTTAAATGTTATTATTTCATAAATCTTATGTGTGTGTGTGTATATATATATATATATATATACATACACACGTTTTTTCTTTTTTTTTGTCATTTCCAGTGTTTCATGGGACTATTTGTCGTCTTCTGCTTTTCAAATACTTGTTTCAAATCAAAGTTTGTTTAGTGATTCATCTCAGTGCTGACTTGTGTATCGTGGCTTAAAGCCTTCTTAGTACCTCTGGAGCCAAAGTGCTCACTGTTTTGCTTTTGTGTTTGTCAGATGGAGGAGGAGGCAGAGCGTCTGCGGCAGCCGCCCCTGAAGCCCGAGCCCGAGGAGGAGAGAGAGCACAAGCCCTCTCGAGAAGAGCTTGACAGAGGCAGGGAGAGAGACCGGCGCAAGGCTCACGCTCACGCTCACGTTCACGCTCCCGTCCCCTCAGACGATGATGTAGAGGAAGGGGAGGAGCTAGAGGACGAAGAGGAGGTGAAACCCTGCCTCAAACCCACCATGCGGCCCATCATGTCCGCCCCCTCTGTGTCTTCAGCGAGCGGAAACGCCACGCCCAACACGCCCAGAGAAGAGTCGCCCTGCGGCATCATCATCCCTCACGAGAACTCGCCGCCGGAGATCCCGCTTCAGGAGGAGAACCGGCCCAAGATCGGCCTTAGCCTCAAACTAGGTGAGTTTGACTTCACAAAGGTTTCTGATCCGGATGTTATGGCCAATAACAAATACGAATTGTGCAACTGAGTCGAGTCACTCTCTTACTTCTGTTTTGTAAATATACGTCAAATATTCATTTATTTAATTGCAATTTGTGTTTAAATACATTTTAATCAAATGAAAAATATAAATTAAAAATAAGTATATTCAAAATTAAAATGAAAAAATATATTCAAGTATAATATTTAAATTAATTATTTTATTTTCCTTTTTTAAATAATTTTTATTAATGAAAATTAAATTGATACATTTTCCAGTATAGTATTTAAATGAATAATTTATTTATTTTTCTAATGATAATTAAAAAGAAATATATTCAAATATCAGTACTTAAATGATTTATTTTATTTTCCTTTTTTAGTTAATGAAACATAACTTTATAAATCTATTCAAATGTGGTATTTAAATGAATAATTTTTTTCTAATGAAAATTAAAATAAATGCATTTTAAGTATAGCATTTAAATTAATTTATTTTTTCTTTTTTTTTATAATGTTTAATTAATGAAAACTAAATGGATAAATATATTTAAATATAGTATTTTAATAATTTTTTAACATTTATTTTTGTAATGAAAATTAAAAAGTTAAATATGTCCAAGTGTAGTATTTAAATTTATTTTTATTTTCATGATTGATTTATTTTTATTTATTAATGAAAAATAAATTGATAAATGTATACAAATATATTATCTAAATGAATACTTTTTTGATTTTTATTAATGAAAAATAAATGGATAAATATCTAAATATTGTATTTAAATTAATCATTTTACATAGTTATTTTTTCATTGTGCATCCATAATTTTCTGAAGACTGTCGGTTTCCTTCAAAAATACAGTGATATAAAAACACCCGCACCGGGTTTCGACTTTGACACGTGCAGTGCTCATGTTTATTCAATGAAAGCCTTTTGGAAAATCTATTTGTGGCGGTTTTTATTACCACCTTGAGGTTCCAAGTGAACCGTACCGTTACCAAAACGTGACGTGTAAACTCTGCTGATCACGGATTGGCCGGAGAGAATCGTCACTACCTGCGTCACTGAACTTGCGACAAACACAACAGAACCGCTAGATTTAAATCAGCACAGCCAGCGAAGGATCGAACGCAACTGTTTTGAACAAGCGCACCTTTTTTAACAACCAAAAAGTGGCTGTTTCGTTGTCTGTTGAGGAAGTACAGACGTTCCTCTCGTTGATAGCAGAGGAGCGGATCCAGCGAGAGCTTGATGGGGCGACGCGGAATGAAAACGTTTTTCAGGAGTCGCGGCAGTAGAGGCGGCGCAACTATAACGACATGTGAATAATCCCGCCCACTCTAAAGCGGTACTGAACTGCAGTGGAAACGCAAACCGAGCCGTGCCGTGCCGTGCCATACCGTACTGAGCCGTGCCGAGTCGTACCACGCAGTGGAAAAGTGCCATAAAAAAACCTGGTACCGTAACGTTTTCATTTTTTTGGTACAGAAGTACCGGGTCTTTTGACAACAAATATATATTATACAACAATATATCGTATAACAAATAAAACTAGTTCTTAGTGATATTTGGCTCAGTTTGTTTTTATCCCATCATAAGGTTCAACCGGTAGCCCAGGACAGCCCAGCGTAGCCAAGCGGAAGAAGCTGGCGGTGGAGAGCGTCTTCAACCGCTTTGACAATGACGAGGTGGACGAGGCGCCTCGGAAGAGGAAGCTGGTGCCTTTAGACTACGAGGATGAGGAGAAGGGAGTAGACATGAGCATGGTGGCCGGCGGCAAAGGAGTCAATACAGAAGAGAAGCGCAAACACATCAAGAGTCTGATCGAGAAGATTCCCACGGCTAAACCAGAGCTCTTTAACTACCCTCTCGACTGGTCCGTCGTCGACACGGTGAGAGTGATGCTTGTTATTAATCAAAAAGCACATCTGATTGTTAAATCATGAAAATTAAACAACTAAACAACAATTAAGTAGAAGTTTAATATCAAAAATACATTAAAAAGAGTTTTATAAGTCCTGTTTTATATTTTCCCATATTCTGTTAGTTTTTATTTAGTTTTAATAGTTAAATATAACTATGCCCGATAACCGATATGCAGAACTGATATTTATTTACTGTTATAAAGTAAATAAATGACTGAGTGAAGTAAGAACATACTTCACTTTGGTTTTTCCTCCTTTGTCATCTTTTTTTTTTTTTAAGTGTTGAAAATTAGCAGTCAGTCATGTTAAATTTAATCTTCATATTACAACAATAAAAAACATTTTATTTATAAAAAGCATCAACAGCAAAAACACTAATATTAACAATAAGCAAAATAAATGTAGAAGGTCTAATGTTTTCAAATGGAGAAAATAAATAAAGGACAGGAGTCATATCAACTTCATTTTAAACTACAGTTTAAGTGATTATTACGTTTTGAATATGGATATTTTTCTTACAAAAACGCATCGATTCGCTACAGGAGGCCTTTGTTCACCCCCCGGAGCCGTGTGAGACACTTTTTTTTTTATGGAAAGGTGCTTTTTATTTCACTGTCTTTTGGACAGAAGCAATGCAACACCCGCTGAGTGCAACGATAGAGCTTGAAAGATCAAAGACGATTTTTAATATAACTCCGACTGGATTCGTCTGAAAGAAGAAAGTCATATACACCTAGGATGCATCGGGGGTGAGTAAAATGCAGCCTAATTTTCATTTTTGGGTGAACTAACCCTTTAAATAAAGTTTACTAACTACAGCAAATCAAGTACCTGCACCATGCAGTTGTTGTCTCGTCTCCCCTCAGACGCGCTGCAATGGCGATCCTGCGCGCAATTCTCAAAACACCCACAAGATGGCGGAGTTTATCGGTGAATCCAATATTACAAAACCGATATACGATTATGGTAAAATGCTTAAATATCGGGAAAGATATCGGTAAATCGATATATTGGTCGATCTCTAATTAAAATTTTTACAATAATGGGATATTAAAATTATACAATTTAACAACAATTTATTAAAAGTGTAACAAAAAATAATAATTTTTAGGTCTCTAATAATTTTTTTTATTTTTCCCAAATTTTAATTTTTCAGGGTTTCATTTTAATGGTTTAATTATTTTTTTAAATAATCAAAAGGGCATTTGTAATAACTTCAACAGCTTAATAATTAACTTTTTTACAAATGTAATAGGGCTCTATGAATATTTTTTTTCTTTTTTCAGAAATTCTGTATTGTCTTGTTTTTTCAGGATTTATAATTTAATACTAATTTATTATCAAAAACTTGTAATCAAGTGAAGGCATAAAACATTAACAGTTTAATCTTTTTAAAGGTAATCAAATTAAAATTGAACAGTTCTTTTAATTTTTTCATAAAGTGGGGCACAACAGTTTAAACATGAAACATTTCACATTAAAACATGAAAGAAAATTGTGAAATTCCTAAAAAAAAAATGCAGATTTAATTTTATTGTTACTATTGCATAAAAATGTATTTTTTATGACTGAGTTCCAGGATTTAGTCTGTTTTCTCCACATCGTGGAAATCATAGGGCCATATATTTGTGTTTGTGGGCTTTTCTTCTTGTTTTAATGATTGTTTAATGTATAACTTGTGTTTTTGAATATTTCCACCGTTCACAGGCACTTATGGAGAAGCGTATTCGACCGTGGATCAATAAGAAGATCGTAGAGTACATTGGTGAAGAAGAAGCCACATTAGTTGACTTTGTTTGCACCAAGGTAAGATGTTTTGTTCGGTTTCTGAATGAAGAAAGAGGCTGAGCGCTGAAGAGGAATAATTGCTACATCTTTCAGAATGATAGTGCACAGAACTACTCCGTCATACGTCCAAATCGTTTTTTGAAACTTTGGTCATGTTCAGCATGAGAATCCAACTCTACTGCATGAAATAGCATTAGACCTCCCCTTTAAATGCTGTAGTTGATTTATAAAATAGTAAAAGAATTAAAGAATTAAATGTATACGAATGGTATTCAAATGAATTATTTTATTTCATTTTAAAAATGCGTTTACTATTTATTAATGAAAAGTAAAATATAGTATTTAAATTCATTTAAAATAATTTTTATTAATGACAAATATAGTATTTAAATGTATTTTAAACATTTTTGTTAATGAAAAATAAATTGACAGCGTGTTTTCACAGTATTTAATTGAATAATTTTATTTGATTATTTAAATGGTTTTTATTAATGAAAAATAAAATAGTATTTAAATTAATTACTTTGTCAATTTATTTTTCATTAATCAATAAAAAAATTAAACATTAAAATAATTCATTTAAATACTCTTATTTTTCATTAATAAAGTAATAAAATAATTAAAAATAAATATTTTAGATACAATATTTGAATTTGTTTATTTTAATAAAATAAAAAATATATATAATTCATAATAAATTCATTTAAATACTATATTTGAATACATTTATGAATTTAATTAACATAATTGCTAATAAAATGAATGAAATTTTGAAGTAGAAATACTGAAATTATTTTGTTTAATTTAGTGTTACTTGAATCAGTTTTGATTCAGAATGAGCCTTAAATCCAGTAGATGTTTGAATCTCAGCAGCAGATGAAGACTGTAAGACTGTCGCTGCTGTGTGTCCTCAGGTAATGGCCCACAGCACACCTCAAGGCATCTTGGACGACGTTGCGATGGTAAGTTTGCTCTTTCGCAGTTATTAAGGCATATTTCCACAACTACACAATCTGAGCTCTTTACCTCCGTCTCCTCAGGTGCTGGATGAAGAGGCTGAGGTCTTCATAGTTAAAATGTGGAGGTTATTGATTTACGAAACTGAAGCCAAGAAGATCGGCCTCGGGAAATGAACAAGCAGCGAACGCCCATGAACTTTGCTTTTTACTTCCCCTTTGGGCCGGACAGCTCATCTAGGTTTCAAAACAACTTGGGAAACTCGACCATTTGTGACCTGTGGAGTTAATTCATATTGAGCCGCGTCCCAGACGCCTCCGTAAGAGCAGCAGCAGCGACGAGAACCGAGAGGAAGAGGTTTGGTTTCTCAGGGCCTTCCTGTTGAATCCGTCTTCAGCGTAGTGGGCCGGACAGCTCATCTAGGTTTCAAAACAACTTGGGAAACTCGACCATTTGTGACCTGTGGAGTTAATTCATATTGAGCCGCGTCCCAGACGCCTCCGTAAGAGCAGCAGCAGCGACGAGAACCGAGAGGAAGAGGTTTGGTTTCTCAGGGCCTTCCTGTTGAATCTGTCTTCAGCGTAGCTACGTCTCGGCCGCTTAGCGCTTCTTTCTGTGAGGAAGTCATTGTAAATTGTTACTGTAATGATTGCCAATCTCGTCTGGGTTGTGATTTTACCGTGTCTGTTCTTTTGGTCGCTCTCACCAACCGAACCAAAGAGTTTTCCCCAGTTGTTTCGCTAAAACTAAAGCAGTTGTGATTGGACCCCGACTCTGTTCAGAAGCTCTCGCTAAACTGATTGACATCAAAACGATTGATTGTCTTTGTTTTTGTACTTATCAGTGGCTGTGTTTTGAATAAAAGTGATTCATTTTTTTTTTTTTTCTTTTGGTAAAATCTTTGTGTGCATTTTAATGTGTCCTGGTTTCAGCTTGAAAGCTGCGCGTCAGTCCATGCATGTTTACTTGTAACGGTAAAATTATTGAATATTAACTTTGGCATAAAAATTGACACTGCATGGTTTATTTTCAGGGTGTGAAGTGATTAATTAGTATACTTAAGGAAGATTTGCATTTTACACACGTGAATTCTTAATTTATATGCCATTTTTGCATTTGTTTCCATAAAAAAAATTATTTGTTTCGACTTATAATGCCATTATAATTTTCACTATTTTAAGTATTTTTTACTATTTATATCAGTTTTAGTTAAGTTCAAGTTCAAATGAAAATTACAAAAGTTGCCTTTGCAACTAGCTGAAATTTTAAGTTTATATATATATTTGATTTTATTTGTCAGTATTTATTCCAAGTAAAAAAAAAATGATGGTCTTAGTAAATTATAATAAACGTAAAAAGCACAGGAAAATCTTGCAATACATTAAATGGTTTGAAGTAAAATTTGTGTTTAAGTGAACATGATTAAATATGAACTAATTATGAATTTAACATTTTGTTTTTACCTGTGAGTGGATTATAATTACAGTAAATACTGGGTAACAATTAGGGCAGTCAAGCAATTAATCAAATTATTAACATTAGATGCTGATTTAATCACAAATATTTGCTGGGAAAAAATTTTTCCTGCTCAACCAAACCTTGGTTTTGTCTAACAAAACATTTTAATTCATTCATTTTGCATTTGAAAATTTAAAATGCTTAATTCCGAAAATGCTCTAGTTTTTAGTTTTGCTAGGTTAGTTAAAAAAAATGCTGAAATGTCACTTAGATACTGTATTTGAAAACTTTTAAAATTAATATATATTATAATGTATAAATTATTTGAACTAATTATGAATTTAACATTTTGTTTTTACCTGTGAGTGGATTATAATTACAGTAAATACTGGGTAACAATTAGGGCAGTCAAGCAATTAATCAAATTATTAACATTAGATGCTGATTTAATCACAAATATTTGCTGGGAAAATTTTTTTCCTGCTCAACCAAACCTTGGTTTTGTCTAACCAAACATTTTAATTCATTCATTTTGCATTTGAAAATAATTTAAAATGCTTAATTCCGAAAATGCTCTAGTTTTTAGTTTTGCTAGGTTAGTTAAAAAAATGCTGAAATGTCACTTAGATACTGTATTTGAAAACTTTTAAAATTAATATATATTATTATAATGTATAAATTATTTTTAATTGGATTTTTATTTTTGCTAAGTACAATGAAAAAGTTTAACAACTTTTTTTTTTTACTTTCATGTTTTTGACTAGATATTTTGAATAAAATTTTCACTCGGTCCATACTTTCAAGTATTATTAAACAGTTGCTTTGCAGCATGTCAATATGTAAATACAGATGCAAAAGAATACAAAACTTCCAGCAACTTTCCAGTATTTTACTGAGATTGAAGCAGAGCGAGAAACAGGTTTTACTTCAGAGAACATCACAGTCTTCACTCTGCATTGTTGAATCAGCTTAAATGTTAATATTCATCAGAGCTGTGAAGGGTGAAAAGGCCACCGGTTCATAAAATCAGCTTTATGATGTTTGTGTACAAGTGAATTCTCTGCAGCATCAGTTCGTCTGAACGGGTTTCTGTGCTGAAGGAGTTGTTGATCTACTCGTCTGTTTTGGCCTCCATCTCCTCAGCGTCGTCATCGCCGTCCACCTCTGCGTTTTCTCGCTCCAGACGCTCCAGCTGCCGCTGCAGTTCTGTCTCGTCTGTGTCCGTCACCACTTTGGGCTGAAGAGAAACATCCATGCATGAGAATGCATTCAGAGTAAACACTTTAATAAAATGTGCTTATATATTGCATTGGATTTTTGTGCTTTTTCTACTCGCTATAGTACTGCACTATGTATTAATTTAATTAAATCCAATAAAAAACAAAAAAAGGACAAAATACAGTTTAAGAAAGCATTGCTTCATACAGTGTTCAATGGATCTGAAAGAATAAAAAAAATATATATATATAATTATTACACTGTTTTCTCTAAATTTTCTCTATATATTGCATTGTTTTTGTTTTCTACTCACTATAGTACTGTACTATATTTATTTATTTTAATCCCATTTTTAAATTGTTTTAAGTTAATCATTTATTTAATTAATTTTTGATGTATGCATATATTTTGCATTGTATTTTTTGTTTCATTAAATTTTTTCTACTCACTATAGAACTACTATACTACTTTATTTTAATCCATTTTTAATGAATCCATTTTTATTTTTATTAATTTTATTATTATTTTTAACCCATTTTTATTTTAACATGTATTTTGTGTTTCTTATTCATATTTATTTATTATTTTAGGTATTTATTTTTATTTAGTTTATATCATAATCATATTTTCTTTTCATTTATTCATTACACCGTTTTCTTTACATTTGGTCTTCAGGTGCCAGTTTGAAAACCCTACTGTATTCTGTGTATTGTAAATAATATCTTGTATACTGCATGATGAGAAACATTCATGCATGAGAATGCAATTAGAGCAAATACTTTTATACAATGCGCATATACAGTATACTGCATTATATTTTTGGTTTTTTGGTTCTAAACTCAAAAACAGTGCAAAAAGATGACGTGTATTCAGTGCGATTTAGTACATTTACGAAGCTCTAAAGTGTCTGACCTCCATCTGGACATTGAAGACTCCTCGCTTCTCCTCGATGCGCTCCTTGATGGCGGTCATGGCCTGGTGGAGCACTGACAGACCCTCGGTGCGCTCCAAAGTGGTGGTGGTCATGACGTATCGCGGCGGTGCAATCAGGTTTATCTGAAAGCAAAACGACGCACTTTTAATCACAGAGTCTGCAGCACATGAACCTGGCAGAGCAGAATATAAAGGAAGCTGATCGCACCTTGATTGGCATGACCTCTGTGGAGCAGTTAAGCCCCGCCCTCAGAGCGTCTTTGACAGCATCAATGCCTTCATATCCATAACACGCCACCTCAATGTCTGTCCACGGGATCAAGCAAACATCATGCTAAACATACATGAACGTATATATGGCACATATGAAAGGGAGAACAAAATAGTTTTTTGAACTTTGTACTATGTCTTAATTTTAATCATGTTTTTTATTATTTTAATCCATTTTAATTTTAATTTTATTTATTTAAATCTGCTTTTTATGTATTTTAAATTTGTTCTTCTTTGAACCTTAAAATACATTAAAAAGAAAAGCAATTAATAAAAAGCGTGGCTTTGTAGAGTATTTAATGTATCTGAGAGAATTGTTTTTTTTAAAGAATTAATTATTTATTTTTTATATGTATTTTTATATATAAACACTTCTGTTCAAAAGTTTGGGGTTCAAAAATATTTTTAAGTAATATTGTGAAATATTATTACAATTTAAAATAGCTGTTTTCTATTTATTATTATCAGTGTTGAAAACAGTTCATATTTTTGTGGAAAACTTATTTTGGATGCAATTAATCGTTTGACAGCACTAATAATAATATAAATTATTATTAATAATAAATAATTATACACATAATTGCAAAATAATTAAATAAAAGTTTAAATTAAATTAAATAAAAAAGTTTTTAAAAAATTTTAATAATTAAATAAAAGTAAAAAAATGTTAAAATACTTTTAATTACTCTGCACTGGAATTATCTGCATTGTGAAAAGTGCAACAGATTTTTATGATAAATACCCGCTCTGATTTTGACAGCCTGTGGAGTGAGGCGTCTGTTGATGTTGTCGATGAGCACGTCCCTCTCCTCCTCTGTCAGATCCAAACCGTCCAGGATGGAGGGATCGCTGGAAATAAAACAAGAAAATAAGCAAAACATTTTCATGTTCACTTAAAAGTCTTTCTCCGTTTAGTGCTTGAACACTCACGACACGGCCTGTTTGAAGACGTCATAGGCGCCGTATCCAGGCTTCTTGTATTTCTCGTCAAACACCCAAGCGGTTCGCTGGAACAAACTCTCCAGCTGTTCGTCCTTAGTGTACTCCAACACTTCCGCCACATGTCGTAAAATACTGTACACCTGCAGCACACGACCACAACATCTTCAAACCACAAAAAAACAGCATTTTACTTCCATTTTCTAAAAAATGCATACTCACGGTTTTAGATTTGGTGAATTTATCCTCACACTTGATGGCTTCTTCCGGAGACACTCTTCTCTTGGACAAATCAATGTATCCTAAGGAACAAGAAAGAAAAACACCTCGAAATGGTCAAATGTGGGGGCATACATAAATGTGGTCAAATTAATGGGGGCTTGTGACAAAAATGCCACACAAATACAAGATAAAGGGGCAAAAATTGACCCTGCACAACTGAATTAAATCTATTAGGACTGTCACGATTAAAATGAAATATGAAAATGAATGAAAACTGTCAATTTGCGGAATTACATTTAGATATGCGCACGTTGCATTAGACTGGACTAACAACCAATCACACGTGTTTCTGTTGAGCTTATGGATGCAATGGCCAATCAGAGGCGTTCCGGTTAGTCAGCGATGACAATGCGCTGTTTAGTTTGGTCAAAGTCCCTTTAAGGCAAGTCATTTCACTCGGCGGCCATCTTTGGGAATGCAAGTGCAGCTCCTATCGCTTTCTCATCTCCTATCTCATCAAATTCTCCAAAACTGTTCACCAAGCTTACAATTAAATTTCATATTTGAAATCACCAATGAAATCTGACAACAACTGTTGTTTCTTTTGCTCAAATAGCGTCAAAAAAGCGTATTTTTCTCAGAACGCTGACGGTTCCTATAGCAACCGGGACTTATAACGGCAGCTGCAGTGACGCGATGACTTTACCGATTAGTGATTGGCTCTTTTACTCAGAAGGCGGGGCCATATTGAGCGTTGCATTTTTCCCCATTCGAAACTATACGACTGACACGCATTGAGTATCGCATACTTCCCTACTATATAGTATGTGAAAAACAGTATGTGAGGCGAGTAGTATG